CAAAAACTCGCGTGGTTATACTTCAATAAGTACACCTGGCATGACTGTGATATTCGTAAGAACACAAATCTGCGACGGTGGAAAAAACTGAAGGTGCCATAGCGACAGATAGGTGCAGCTCTTGAATTGTGTTTTTAACTTCTTTCGCACCGTACGTAGCCAACCGTGCTAATCGGAGGTGCGTTCTGGCCAGTCGAACCTTGCTGCTTGGGATGTGAGCCTGGCGCTGGCAATTTAATAAGAAATATAGATTTTAGTTATAGTCTTGCACTCGATGACAACCTGTAGAATTTCATTCAAGTCCGAGTGGATTTCGTTTTAGTCATTCATCCTGCTTAGTCGAGGCGATAAATCAGTCAAAATACTTAGTCCACTCCTGGCTATTAAACGTTGGTGTGAGAAGCATTCAGTGTCCCCCCCACCACCACCACCCAATGTTATCAGTTCAGTCAACGCATGAACTCAGAACATTTCTTTATATACTTATTGAGCCAATTACCGTTTATGATCTTCTGCAGTGCACTGCAGCCTCGAATAACGTTCCTAAATGACTTGAACCTACATATTCATTCAGACTCGATAATTTCATCTCTTCATGGCAGCAGTCGTGTTTTGGTTTTGGTGAGTAGTTTTATTCATCGGCATGCTTTCAGAATCCGAATCGTAATATTTATTTATACTGGAGGAATCCGATGAGCTGTAAAGGTATATTATGATTGTGTCTACTCGCAGCCATCGTTGACTCGTGTGTGGATAAACATATGGAAAATGCTTCCTCTATAAATAATTCCGTCACTAATTTACTTCCCAAACATTTACGCTTGACTGGCAGGACTTATGCACTTATCGTCGAGAGCATGCCAGGCCTGTAACAGAATATCTGTCACCTTAAGGACAACTCGAGGCTGAAGCAGTGCTACATTCAATCGAAATTTCTCCTCTCTTCCCACGAAACCACAGTTGTAAAAGATTATATTACTACGTCCCCGATGCTGTACAAAAAGTGCGGCTTCAGTTCACGTTCTTGTGGTGTTCAGTTCAGCCACCCGTGTAATGTGTGCATGCTAACCAATTTTCCTTTCTTTGAGCACTTGCCTAGACCAGCAGTTAAGGAAATTATTATGCATGTAATACTTGTGGCATTTCCCTTAGAGGATGTAAAACTTTTGAACTGCATGCGATGGGTAACAATTTGTAATGAAATAAAAAGTCAAAAATACGTGTAGACGATCATAATTTTTCACGAGCAATGTAACGTTAAAATATTGGTTTCAATTCTCAACACAGTGGGTGTCTTTGAAAAAGGAAGTGGTATCTAACACCCTTGTCTCATTGCACATTTAGGGTTGTGACTTATCACACAATTCAACGAATTATCATGACTCGAGAGTTATAAAACGATTCCGTAATCGTTTGACCGTCAGTTTTTTGTTCCATTTCATTTATATTGTTTCTTCACTTTTCCAGTTATTCATACAGTGGTCACCGTCACGTCCCAACTATGAACCTTACAACACCGTTCCAGTACTGAGTGCTGGGCACGGGGATGGTATTCTAATGTTCATCATCATAACATTAACTACAAGTATTCTTGGTTCTTTCGGTAAAGTCACGTTGAAGAGAAGCAATAAAATAATAAAATATATATAAAACAATAACATTCTCACGACGTTTCGACTGCAACACAAGCAGTCATCATCAGGCGTGAAAACCAACGGCAAGAACATCAGGTGTGAAAACCAACGGCAAAAACATTGCCGTTGGTTTTCACACCTGATGATGACTGTTTGTGTTGCAGTCGAAATGTCGTGAGAATTTTATTGTTTTATATATGTTATTATTTTATTGTTTCCCTTCAATGTGACTTTACCGAAAGAACCAAGAATATGAATCACTGCAGTCACGAAAGCTTTAAATCAAAAAATTAACTACGAGTGTTTAGTTCATGCCATTTGCCCAAATGTTCCATTTTTGCGGACCATTTGCCTCAAAGGAAATGCGGTACATGTTTTGGTTAAGTCACCGTGATTTTGTCAGCACACATTATGCCACGTGCCAAAATGCTCAGCAGTAGAAGAGAGTTGAAACAAAAGTGTCAAGACGGGGTGTACCGACGTATGGAGTGTGTGCTGTCAGTTATTAGCAGCTGATAGTAGCCACAGGCAATGCCTCGTGATGTGCTTAGCCACAACACCTAGGGTATCGCTATGATTGCTAGAGCTCGTCGACATTAGACATGCTCTCTTGGTTTAAACTATTTGCTGTGGAGCGGGTGGACTTGAGATATTGTTATTTCATGTTGACGATCCCGCAGCGTATGTGTTGTTTGCTACTCGTACGGACGGCTCTAGGGAAATACAGGAGTCACAACTTTCCTACCGATTTTCATGCATTCGGAGAGAGTCTTGAGTGGACAGGTAAAAGCATACATCGCCGAAGGGGGGGTTAAAACTGATAGCTTCACGGTTGTGTGAATTTATCGAACAAAATTTTGTTTTAGACATTGGTAAACAAAAATATCCAAAGTCATGAGCACATTCTTTCGTCATTTAGTTGAAGGTTATAATCTTCACAGGCATTATGAATAATGCTTATATAATGAAGCTCCAATCGTGATTGAAAGCCTTTCTTACTACTGTGATGTAATAATGTACTGAATGCAATGTATGTGTGGGATGTGTTCATGGCACCTTATGTGTGCTAAATAATTAGTGCTAATTAATTACAATAATAATTGTATACAACATCCAAAATCGTGTTGTGAAATTGTCAACAGCAGCCCTGATCAATCCATTGCTTGATGAAGGTCTCCACAATCCATCTCTCATGGTCTTGCCATGCAACAATCCATACAGCCCCTACACATAAGTTGATCAATCTCCACAGTTGACACGTACTCGGCCGTGTTCTGAGACGATTTTGAAGGCTGTCTCATGCAAAGTTGTTACTAATATTGTGCTCGCTCGCATTGTTCAGATGTTTAATAAATGAGGCTGTCTACCCGCTACAGTTAACATGTGCCTCACAGCAGATCCTGTTCACGCATTCTTAATTGCGCACCGCCAGATTTGTTAGCAAGCTACGATTTTCCAAAGTTTGATTTTGCTCAGACGTCATCACAAATGAAGCCTTATCATTTCACCGTATATTTGGACGTTAGTGTACATTTAAAAAAAAATTAAGGAATATCGGCAAATACAACTGCAGATAGATATCTCTCCCTAATCCTTGAAGGCACCCTCACATTGACAAAATATATAGTGCATCTAAACGACCTCTCCGTTATTAAAGAAACGATATTGATTGAATGATTCCATGCACTGATGTCCTCATTCAGTGGCACCAATTGGAACTATTAAAATCTACTCACGATTCTTGCTCAAGACACATCTCATAAAAAAACACGTGACCTTTCTTGTACTAGAAAGAATAAAATGTACAACTTGGAGTTCCATTGTGTGGTATAAGCATGTATATATATTTTAAGTAGTTTTTGTTGTGCTTTCTACAGTAATTTGATGTGCATTGGGTTATTGAATGGCCACAGGAAGAGGGGCTATAACAAATATATACAAATGTTTTAACATCATGCTACTCTTAGTGTCTTCGAACTCTCTAGCGTGGGGTATGTATCTAGCGACACAGACAATGACAGCAATCTTTTCATAGGGAAGATCAGCAGGCGATGCTGTGAAAGAACGACTCCAGCACTTCTGAAGTTACAAACAATTGGATGGGCCATCGGGGGGTGAAATTTTATTAGAGTTTGCAACAACAAAAAAACGCGGATGCTCATTTCCTTTTGCCTTATACTAATGTTGTTACTATGGGGGCAGCTTTATCAGATTTGGAAGGTTCTTTCATTTGTCATTGTCTAGTATGCAACGTGTACAAGCTGGTATATTGGGTTACAGCTCGAAATTGTTTCATAGCGGGTATTTATTTTTGTCCATACGGTAACTGCGGCCACAGTTTGACATAAATATTGGTATTATGAAAAAAAATACTTTACTGTGTTCTGCGTCAGCGAATTTCCATTACAAAACTCAAGATTAGATTTGTTGGCAATGGTTTGGAAATGTTCCAATGCCGCAGGTTCTGTCTTTGAGGCACCTCAAGAGTAACGAGCTGTCACCTGAGGTTCGGGCAGGTGGATGCTAGAGGAATACATTCACTGACATTACGCGTGTGATTTAGAAAAAAAGGAAATCATTGTAACCTTGTAATAAATCCTTATCCTAAATGGGAAATTGAAATGACTAATAATAACACTTAATCTTTTACACTGCATTCTGTAGGAGGCATAACTAGATTCTCTTAAGATTATGTTAGCTCTGCCATGTCACCCTTTGTTTAGCTTTAAGGGCCTGGGTTAGTTAGAATCAACAATGGTTGAAGATTCAAAGTGAGACTTTTAGAGATTACACCGATGTGGCTGTGGTTCTACAAACACAGTCGGAACGTTTGGCTCCCCCGAGGTAGTGTCAAACATTACAGTTATTCTGTAAACATCGATTTATGGTATATCCTTAATAAATGTACACCGATTAATAAAATGTATTTTATATTCTTAGTTCTTTCGGTAAAGTCACGTTGAAGGGAAACAATAAAATAATAAAATATATATTGTTTTATATATTTTATTGTTTCCCTTCAACGTGACTTTACCGAAAGAACTAAGAATATGAATTACTGCAGTCGCGAAAGCTTTAAATCAAAAAATGTATTTTGTTATGGTACTGTATTTAAAATTCGGGAATAGGCATTTGCTTATGATATGTATTCAGCATGTACAGTATCAATCCACCCCCCATCCCCCCCCCTTGTGGTGTCCAGTCAACTCAGTCAATGAACCCAGAGAACCTGAGTCCATCCTGTCACCACCTTCCAGTGCCTTCAAAGTGCACGCAGCCTGGCACGAGCGCTGTGGCGGCACGTCACCTTCTCATGGTGGCGCATGGTGGCTATTGTTGACGCTGCTTATTGCTGTGTGGTCACAGGCGAGCAGGCGTCCCGAGAGCTGTGTTCTGGCCGAGTGGAGCCCCCTGCCAAGCTGCCCTGCCGGGTGCCCTGTCCAGGAGACTGCGTGCTCGCCCACTGGTCCGACTGGTCTCCGTGTTCGTTCACCTGCTCGGGAAAATCGGGCGAAGGGCGCCAGAGCCGTGGCAGGGCCGTGCTTGCCCATCCCTCTGACGGTGGGTGAAGCTTGAGTTTCCATTCTTATATTTTGGTTTATATCTCCTTTGCACGAAGGCACATTCCAATAAAAAATGGAAGTTGGGGCGGAGGGGGTGGTGGGGCAGGGGGGGGAGTTGAGTGGTGGCACAGTGGTTAGTGCACTGCGCAATTGATACGGAAACCCAGGTTCAATTCCTGGCCACGGCTAACATCAGTGGCCCCACCCACCTCCTCTCCACAAACTCACCCCAACCAAGCTAGTGAAGTGAGGTCAAACCCCCTCATGACGGACCCAGCGTGCGGACGCCTTCGTCCAGAAGTGGAATCGCAAAGGGTTGAAAATATGAGCTGTCATGCCAGACAAATCAACATTTCTGGAGTGGGGTTTGTTTATCAGGCGCAATTTATATCTCATTTACACAAAGGCACATCCCAATAAAGTAACACAATTCCACTTTAGCAGTTCATAAAAAACGGATCAGTCAAGCATGGCCCCATTTCTTAATGTAAGTGGGCACTGCAGGCAAATGCAGAGGTTATTAAACAGCCAAGCGGATAATGTAGTCTCCCAGGTGAATTGGTGAGAAGGCAAAAGACGCATGGAAAATAGCGGGACACCGCGCTTTATAATACATTTAGGGTGTGGGCTATCCCAAAGGAATCTAGCGGCTTAACACTTAATGAATTAAAATGTATTAGTCCGATTAATTATTTCCATACTGCAATTATTTGATTTTGACTAAGGTTCTTGTTTGTTTGATGTAATTATTTCAAGCTTACTTGGAGCCCAACTGGATTACTCCAAGTATTTAAATATGTAAAGCGTATTGAATATGAATACATTAACATATTGCAAAAAAAAAAAACTTCTTTGTCGTAATTGTGTTATGAAATGTATAGTCACTTAAAGGGCATCAATTATTTTTTATTCAAAGTATCCCCGATTAAGTTCACATCATGGCGGCACATAACGATTGTGCATAACGCACAATGTCACAACCCACTGCTTAAGAGATACAGTGATTGAATATACTGTAATACTACCAAACTCCCCCTTCACGATGTGGCACTCCTTAATTAACCAGCTTCAATAAGTTCCTGCTGTACATGGTGATGGTCTTCATCATCCTGTGTGAAGAAATTGTGCCAAGAATACATGACTGAATCTCTCTGGGTTAGTGGCGGTGACAGTGGGAGCTGTGGCACAGTGGCCACGGGACTTCTGGCCGGGGCTAAGAGTGGCAATTATATCTGAACCGGTCCTGCATACCACTGACCCACAATGACCAGCGTGTTGAAGTCTGGTCAAACAACGCCAGCCTGACCGACACAGCATGTGGAGGCTATCAATCGTCGGTGCTTAAACAAAGGAGCTGTTAAATTACAGTGTCCGTGTGGTAAAGTTTGTGATTTTCACGCGTCTCTGCAATCGATTATGCATAATGTGTAAGTATCTAGTTGTTTATCTATACCCGTGCGGAGAGTGGCGGTGCAGTGGCTTGTACACAATGGTTCCTGGCAACGACCAACGTCGAAGACGTAATGGTGACCTGAACCCCATTTCAGGTGTCCCCTACGTTGACTCGTCCTTAAATAAGTATCTGGCACACTAGTGATGGACTGGACTCATAAGAGTGCGCAATGTCAGATGTTCTTACTTACTTATGTATTAAGATGACCAATAAGTATATAAGTGTAGCCAGGTGTGGTTCAGGACACACACCCCCCTTGTACCTTGTATGCCATATCGGCAATATTTTCTCACTAACAACACTTGCTCCACCAGTCAATAACACTTTACGGGATTATTGTGTTTGCGTGTGTATAAATAATCAATTGTGTGTTTACGCGTGCGTGCGTGTATCTTATCAACTGTGTACCGCGTAAGAATAAATTTCAGCCCTTTGTCAATCCACTGCTGGATGGAGCCCCGCTCGCACTGTGTCAGTCACGGAGGTTGTGTGGCCATATTTCATTGCCCTGATCAGTTCGTGTTAGTGAAAAGCGGGGGGCGGGGGGATAACCCAAGACCAGTTCAGGTGTCACTCGCCACTGATGTTAGCCATGGCTGGGAATTGATCTCAGGTTGTCAGGTTCATAGCTCAGTGCGCTAACGATTGCACCACTGCTCCCCAACACACCAAATTATAAGGCACAATATTTGTTTAATTAATTGAAAATCGTAATCTAAATCGCATAACTTATTAATAGCCCCCAAAGGCTTGGCTATGCACACACATTTACCCTGCGTTGTGTTCTTTAGCATTTTGCATTTTCAACTGCATAGCCAAGCACTGAACATTTTCTCTATATAATTGTTAACGCACGAAACCGAGTTAATATATATTCCCTTAGCTTTCACGAACCACTCGCCAATATGAGTATAACGATGCATCAATTAATCAAATATTATTGATTATTCAGATCATGATACACGAGTCATATCGCATGCTAAGGAATCCATGGTGTTAGTCGCATCTTAAATATTTTACGTAATAGGTTCGTGTGACCCTTGCAGGAACTAGAGGTGCTACCATTAACTGTATTGTTAAAAGCCACATTCTTTGGTTCTTTCGGTAAAGTCACGTAGATAGAAAAATTATAATAAAAATAAAGTGAAAAATAATATCACGACGTTTTGATCGCAACACAAGCGGTCGTCATCAGGGAAATGGATTAGCCTCAAAAAGCAAACTGTTTATAAAGGTTTGGAGATGGGTGTAGCCCAATCGTATCAGCAGCACCAACAATGCTAATGCAGCAGCACCAACATTGCCAAAGCAGCAGCAATGCCAATGCAGCAGCAATGCCAATGCAGCAAATGGCCGTCAGGAAATAACTGCAACCCGCTCCACACACCACACTGATGACGGTGGAGGTTGATTGACAAGAAAACACAAGTCAAGTCATGACCCAAAGTGGTTGATGACATCTTTCCAATGATTGCTGAGTCTATAACCTTCCTCTCAGTTGAAATTGTGTCTGTATCTGTATATATGGATGGCTTCATGAACGAATCTTTGTTGATAGCCAGTAGGCTTGCAAAGTACCATCGTCTTAGAGAAATCAATTTCGTGTGAGCCAGCCGCATTTAAATAATGACCAGCCACGGCAGAAGTATTGGTCGTACCATGTTTCACATCTGCCTTATGTTAACGAACAAGGTCCGAGACATGTCGCTTAGTTTCCCCAATGTAACTGCTTCCGCAGATACAGCTTAGTTTGTAGACGACAGGATATTGCATGTCAAGAATTTTGTCCTTCACATATGGGATCAGATTACGAATTTTATGTATTGTGTTAAATCGGACCTGGATCTTGGTTTGTTCATGATTTTGGAAATCTTTTTGGTTACCCCTGCTATGTATGACAGGGTGATGGTTTTGATTGGATCCTCAGATGACTCCTTCCTCACGTTAGGGGTGATGGCTTTACGGATTGTGTAGTCAGAATATCCATTCGCCTTGAGAGCTTGGTGTACGTGTTCGCTGGTTAGGTGTTCATGGTCTGAGATACATTGAGCTCTGTGGTGTAGCGTTTTGATGAGGGAATTATTCTGGGATGGATGGTGGTCAGAATCAGGTTTTAGTTAGGCGTCAGTATGGGTTACTTTCCTGTAGACAGAATGGCTCATTGAGCCATCTGGTCTCTTTTTGATTAAGACATCCAAGAAAGGTAGCATGCCATCATTTTCTACCTCCATGGTGAATGGATGTTCTGACGACACAATCTGCAAAGCTATCACCTCAACCGTGAGGAAGGAGCCATCTGAGGATCCAATCAAAACCATCACCCCGTCATACATAGCAGGGGTAACCAAAAAATTTACCAAATCATCAACAAACACAAGATCCGGTCCGATTTAACACAGTACATAAAATTCGTGATCTGATCCCATCTGTGAAGGACAAGATTCCTGACATGCAATATCCTGTCGTCTACAAACGAAACTGTGTCTGCGGAAGCAGTTACATTGGGGAAACTAAGCGACATGTCTCGGACCTTGTTCGTGAATGTAAGGCAGATTTGAAACACGGTAGGACCAATACTTCTGCCATGGCTGATCATTATTTAAATGCGGCTGGCTCACAGGAAATTGATTTCTCTAAGACGATGGTACTTTGCAAGCCTACTGGCTATCAACAAAGATTCGTTCATGAAGCCATCCATATATACAGACACAGACACAATTGCCACCGAGAGGATGGTTTTAGACTCAGCAATCATTGGAAAGATGTCATCAACCACTTTGGGTCATGACTTGACTTGTGTTTTCTTGTCAATCAACCTCCACCGTCATCAGTGTGGTTTGTGGAGTGGGGTGCAGTGATTTCCTGGCGGCCCTTTGCTGCATTGGCATTGCTGCTGCATTGGCATTGTTGGTCCTGCTGATACTTTTGGGCTACATCCATCTCCAAACCTTTATAAATAGTGTGCTTTTAGAGGCTAATCCATTTTTCTAATGACGACCACTTGTGTTGCGATCTAAACGTGGAGATATTTTTTATTCGCTTTATTTACATTTTCTATCTACAGTGAGGGAAAAACGTATTTGATCCCCTGCTGATTTTGTAAGTTTGCCCACTGACAAATAAATTATCACTCTATAATTTTAATGGTAGGTTTTTTTTGAACAGTGAGAGACAGAATAACAACAACAAATTCCAGAAAAATGCATGTCAAAAATGTTATAAATTGATTTGCATTTTAATGAGGGAAATAAGTATTTGACCCCCTCTCAATCAGAAAGATTTCTGACTCCCAGGTGTCTTTTATACAGGTAACGAGCTGAGATTAGGAGCACACTCTTAAAGGGAGTGCGCCTAATCTCAGCTTGTTACCTGTATAAAAGACACCTGTCCACAGAAGCAATCAATCAGATTCCAAAGTCTCCACCATGGCCAAGACCAAAGAGCTCTCCAAGGTTGTCAGGGACAAGATTGTAGACCTACACAAGGCTGGAATGGGCTACAAGACCATTGCCAAGCACCTTGGTGAGTAGGTGACAACAGTTTGTTGCGATTATTCGCAAATGGAAGAAACACAAAAGAACTATCAATCTCCCTCGGCCTGGGGCCCCATGCAAGATCTCACCTCGTGGAGTTGCAATGATCATGAGAACGGTGAGGAATCAGCCCAGAACTACACGGGAGGATATTGTCAATTATCTCAAGGCATTTGGGACCATAGTCACCAAGAAAACAATTGGTAAAACACTACACCATGAAGGGCTGAAATCCTGTAGCGCCCGCAAGGTCCCCCTGCTCAAGAAAGCACATATACATGCCCGTCTGAAGTTTGCCAATGAACATCTGAATGATTCAGAGGACAACTGGGTGATAGTGTTGTGGTCAGATGCGACCAAAATGGAACTCTTTGGCATCAACTCAACTCGCCGTGTTTGGAGGAGGAGGAATGCTGCCCATGACCCCAAGAACACCATCCCCACCGTCAAACATGGAGATGGAAACATGCTTTGGGGGTGTTTTTCTGCTAAGGGGACAGGGCAACTTCACCGCATCAAAGGGACGATGGACGGGGCCATGTACCGTCAAATCTTGGGTGAGAACCTCATTCCCTCAACCAGGGCATTGAAAATGGGTCGTGGATGAGTATTCCAGCATGACAATGACCCAAAACACACGGCCAAGGCAACAAAGGAGTGGCTCAAGAAGAAGCACATTAAGGTCCTGGAGTGGCCTAGCCAGTCTCCAGACCTTAATCCCATAGAAAATCTGTGGAGGGAGCTGAAGGTTCGAGTTGCCAAATGTCAGCCTCGAAACCTTAATGACTTGGAGAAGATCTGCAAAGAGGAGTGGGACAAAATCCCTCCTGAGATGTGTGCAAACCTGGTGGCCAACTACAAGAAACGTCTGACTCTGTGATTGCCAACAAGGGTTTTGCCACCAAGTACTAAGTCATGTTTTGCAGAGGAGTCAAATACTTATTTCCCTCATTAAAATGCAAATAAATTGATAACATTTTTGACATGCGTTTTTCTGGATTTTGTTGTTGTTGTTCAAATAAACCTACCATTAACATTATAGACTGATCATTTCTTTGTCAGTGGGCAAAAGTACAAAATCAGCAGGGGATCAAATACTTTTTTCTCTCACTGTACGTGACTTTACCGAAAGAACCAAAGAATATGAACTCCTGCACTCACAAAAGTTTTAAGTAAAAAAACACATGTTTTTCTTGAATTGTACTGTGACCCAGAGTAGCGGACAAGTCACTGAATTGATAAGACGCAGAAATCATTGCACCTCCTACTAACAGTGGTGTGCACGTGACACACGGAGGAATGTGAATGAGTTGGGACAGCAATTTCGAATTTTACATGCAGTGCATATCTCACAAAATGTTGGCATTTGTCGGACCATTTCATGGATGTGTTAATTGGTCACTCTTCTTCTCCCTGTCTTGGGCAATTTATATGTATCTACGTTGAATTTCTTTTGCACCATACATATCCAACCGTGCTAACATTATTTTTCAGGGTACGAATTTACCATTGCATTTAATATTACATATATTTGGCAACTTGTTATTGTTTTTTCCTCACTGGTGCTGAAATGTTTCAAAACCAAACCATCGATAGAGCTGTGCAATTCCTCACTTGGGTACAGGGCACCATTAGTGCTAATACTAGCCACTCGTTCTTTTTAAGTTTGCCCATTTTCTGAGCCCTAATATAGGCGATAGTATTAAAGGATTACTTTTTGGTGTAGATCTACTTTTTAAAAACATAAATGTCAGGTTCTTTTACAGAAAATGTGTATCTTTCCTGAATTAAAGCTTAAGCTGACTTTATATAAAAGCACACAATGTGGCTTTTATATTTAGATGTCTACAGTTTTACTTAAATCATAAAGTACACAAGAAGAAATATTTTAAATTATTATTTGAGGAAAAATAAAAATGTATCAGTCTTTTCAGCACGACTGTATTGCAATGTTTTGTATATCGACAGACTTTATAGTAAAATGCAAATAACAAAGTGATCGTTTTTGATGTTACTATTTAAATGCTAAACTCGTGACATTCCCTCATTCAAAGCAATTTTTCATCCCGTCAAAGCGAATATGCGTAATGAGTTTTCAAAAATACCAATATTCTTTTCCTGCAGTCACCGCACCATAACAGAAAGGATACCTTGGTATAACTTAATATTGTGACATATATACCACGTAGGCTTTCGCGGCTGTGCTTTAGGCCTCTCCTCACCACACATTGTTTGGCATTTATGCCTGAGGTTTCACTCCACATGCTGGGGAACTTATTCAGGAACTTGACCGCTATGAGTTTAGCAATTCCATTTGCATATGCACAGCTCAGTTTGTGGTACCTGCATACACTGTGGGCTCACCCTCGCGAGACGCAACACACGCTGTCAGTTTGACTCTGCGTTGAGCGAAGCGAGCCGACATTTTGCCACCTGCATGGCAACTTTTGGGTGTAAATAATGTATTAGCATCAGTGGGTGCAGGTGCTGTTCACCTTGTGCACATTATACAATTTAATAGTGGATCGCTGAAAGTATATTTGATAGTAACGTGCTCTCAATCCCATGCGCACCATTACCTCGATCCCCCGTACAGGTCGACACTGTTGGTTAGCGAGCAAGTACTAAACTTACTGACCAACTCCTTACTGGACATGTGTGAAAAACAGTTTCATAGCTCATCAGATTCCTCCAGTCTAAATAAAGATTCTGATTCTAGTATTTTTTTTATATATATTGTTTTATGTCAGGTGGCGCTCCGTGTACTGGGGAGGGCCAAGAGCTGCTGGAGTGGCAGCCATGTGCCCAGGTGCCCTGTACCGTCTACCACTGGCAGGCCGGCTCCTGGGGCCCTTGCACAGAGGACCTCTCCACCCCGCCCAGGAACGCCTCCCTCAGGGCCCGACCTGCCCCGGCTGGGGGGTCTACCCGAGGAACCCCGCCGGCCCACGTTGGCGTTTCGTCCTCGCCACACGACGGGCCTTCCTGCTCCTCGTCCGGCATCCAAAGTCGAAAAGTCATCTGCATGCGGATTGGCATTGGGCAGGTCGGCACCAAGAAGTAAGTTTACCAAATACTTCAACGGATGTCTATTAAACGCTGTCATAAAATACCATGCTAGGATTTGGAGGTTTTTTTTGCCCATGTGTCAGTGTCATCATGTGCTCGGAGCTTTAAAAACATGTATGGATAATTAAGGACTAAAGATTTATTTCAGAAATACTCTTGTACTGTTGAAGGTGTCAATTTCATAATATGTATGAACCTTTAAAACAAATGTATTGACTCGCCAGACACCGAAGATTCTTTTTTGTACTATCGTTATACTATTAATCACAAAAGGCATGGTTTTAAGGTATCTAACAAAAATCTTATAAATCACATTAAAAATATTGATTGACATGCTGGATTTTCAGTTATTCTGGCACACATACACATATTCAAAGGCAATTAATAAACTTCATCCTCAACAAAAGATCAAAAAACAGTCAACCTAAATAATGTGGTCTTTTCCAGCTTTGCACAAATTGGTTCTGTGGGTTATTAAAGCTTAAGCATTATTGTTGTTGTTTTACTACCATAATGATTATCGGGTAAACATGTGATTATAGATTGTAAAAAAAATTATGATTAAAGTAATCTGATTTTATACGAGGACTTTCTCGACCGATATTATTATACATAATGTATTTTGTACACTTTTAACAATTACCCTGCATCACCTGAAAGAGCCAATCAAATCAAGTTGTCATATGAGCAAATATGACAACTTGATTTGGTATTTCCGCAAAACCGGAATGTTGAAAAGGCAAAGCGAAACGATGACAATTTTATTCGACGTTTCGCTGAAGATTACCATCCATGGATGGCATTTTGTTTGGAAATGTCTTCATCCAGCAGTGGATATATCATTGCGGATGCTGCTGATGATGATGATAAGGGTTTCAGAACATGACTGTTTTGTCCACAAACATTGTAGCATGTCTGCTTTGTCCACAAACATTGTAGCATGTATTGATTAACTCATGCATATAGCTGTTATTTTTTTACATATTATAATGTGTCCCTCACAAATTATTTGCGCATATTTCACATACTAATTATAAATTATTTATGTTGGCATTCCTGGCTTGACCGCCAATACAATTATGTATTTTTAGAGCCGCATGACAAAACTTGCAGACATTTTCCGTGGAGCGGAAGACACCATGTGATAGTGGTCACGTTTAATTAATTCTGGCAGCTGAGAACAATGCGAATACACGTATGCAATATGCATGCAAGTATGTACTTCGCATAATATTACTGCATAATGCATGCCTTGCCTCAATGTGTAGCTTATTAAAACAAAGTGAGGGAGTTAGAAGATATCTTGCTGTGTTATGGAAAATGTATGCTCCACTAATGAATAGAAGATGAAAGCATGCCTGGGGTTACATGTGAATAACTGCTATGCACATAGACAATGGGTGGCTGTGGCTAACGGGGCTTAGTGTTGTTACCACCACACCTATTTGCCAGGTTGCATTTTTCAAACACAGCCAAGACAGTAAAAACCTTTGGAAGCCGGACTGGTTGAGAGTGCAAGGTCCATTCTCATTTGCAAAAAGTGACCTGGGGCATTAGTTTGCCAGTAGAGGGTATTTGTTTTTATTTGGCAAATTTCGACCCTTTCGCCGGCACACAACGGCCTACTCTTGCGAATGACGTCAGGAAACTTTAGCGTCCACTGTGAAGCAGCATTATGTTCACTACACCCACACAGTAATAACCAGGGCGGCCGCTACCATTGGGCCACATCCGCCACCCATAACCACAAGCAGAGCACGTGCTAGACTGACGTAACCAGTGCATCAGTCTTGCTTTGTAATCTGCTTGTGACAACCTTGCCCTCACCTGTTTTTTTTTAATACGTTCATTAAAATATATATTAATTACAAATATTAATTCAGCCCTACCAAACAATAATTTTGCCCAGCACTTAGAGCTAAGAGTGACCCGTCAGGCTATGAGTAACTACTGTCAAAAATAGCAGCGAGAATAATCATAATTATAACGATAATGTCTCATGAACAATAATAGCGAAAAAGCTAAAATATACTTTTTTATACTTGTTGAATAATTCGACTGCGCAATTATTTGCACAAGTCTTTGAGCCATCTCAAGGGTGCCACGGTCTACCATGTGATCTGTCACGTGGCAGGGATTGGTTTTCCCAGATGCATACACTTAGTTTTTTTCCCAAGCTCCTGGGTGTTCTTTATTGTTTTTGCAGACGAAGGGGGGTGGGGGGAGATATGAAGAGTTGCTCAAAAGTCTTCTAGACAGCTCATACCGAATGTATAAGGGCTGTTTTCCCTCGTGTGCTGGACAGTACCGAATGTGTAAGGGCTGTTTTCCCTCGTATGCTGGACAGTATACAAGCCCTTGGTCATACACCAACACATGCATAACGCAATACATATTATCTATAAACACACTTGTCCACAGAATCATAATACGTTGTGACATAGTTCAAACCTGAAACAAATATCGAGTAATTGGAGAAATGGTTATGATAAATTACATATTTGGATTTTACTTACAAAATAGCATTACGCATTATTTGACAAGCTTGATATGACCACATTTGCTGTTTGTGCCAGGCATCATGAAAAACATGCTTTAAATTACAGGACAATCCCTCATTTGCTGCGTATTAAATTGTAATGTCAATCTACACAGTAATATGATTTGTCATTTTCGTATTAAAACTAATTTCTGTTTCATGTGGTGTCATCATTTTCCGTATTTTTTTCAGAATAATGTGGAAGAAAAAAAAAGCAGAAACAGTGAAAAAAATTACACCACTGGAATTTTAAATCTTTTCTCAATTCCTGACCAGCATCTAGGCTGTGCTAAGTCACATTTGCAAAGAATACAGGATAGTGCATAACAATTTTGCTTCACAAACGTGAAGCGATAATTTTCATATTTTCAACATCACCCTCTTACTTTTTAGCCGTTCCTCACGAATATATATTTACGATGTAATTCAACATACTTCATCAAGATTAGCTTGTATCCAAATTACCTGGACATTTAAAGTCAGACGGCAGGTGTTCCATCCCATTTAAGAGGAGACCAACGCCTCATTTGTTACTGCATGTCCACAGCGCCATCAAATAGAAATGGATATTTGCAATTAGCACGTACACTTTCGTTTATTAACCAAATTACGCTGCTTAACGGATTTATGTGTCTGAATTTAAGCACCGAAAATTCATCCATACACAATTATGTTTCGTGATATTTATCTGAACATGCATTCATTAGTTCTTATTATGCTATGAAAATGTATAACTGTTCTGAAAGTGTGTTTATTGCAACAACAAAAAATGGATGCGGACGTGTCGCATCAATGTGCTTGCATTACTGAGACACTCATAGTGTGTAGCGATTCTACCTCCACCTCCGCACGGTCCCACGAATTGCCACGATTAAGGGTCACGATTAAAGGTCATGATGAGATTCAAGAGAGGATTATTTTTAACGTTGTGGTGACTGCAGAGGCCTCGAGTGCATGGTGTGGTCACACGATCCTGTAACGTACAACATACACCAATTGGAAAACATTTATTTCTATACATGCATTTCAGTCGTGTGTTATAAAGCTTACGAATCAATATGAATTCGACTTATCGGTGTAGTGTTACACCACTATTAGACACCACTTGGGATTTGTAATATTAATGATATACCTGCAATGAGCCTTAATTCCAATATGCAAATGACCTACGTTTAGGGAGGCTGTAGCCGCCCCTCTGGATGCAGGCGTATGTCGGCTTTCACACCATGTTCTGCGTGTGTAAATACGTGAATGTGCGAGGCGATACGTTTATTTACATTGCTTTAACTTGTTGGGTGTGGGGGGGGGTGGTCTTTTGGGATTTTTGCATTTTATATAAAACACAGTCTTCGGAAATGAGTTAGTTTAAAACATTTCCATACACAATTATGCAAAAAAGTAAAAGTGTGGCAAATGGATGTAATATATATGGCGAGAGAAATTTGCTGTGAATATGAAAGTAAAAATTACATCAACATCTCAGGCAGGGAACAGCTTCGTTAAAACATCTGAATCCTGCATAACACTTGGCTGCCTCTACTTCGATTATAAACAATATGTTGTAAAATTAAAAAGGAAAATAAACATGTAATTACTTCTATTTACTTGAGGACAATTTCTTGCGGCTAGCTATAATGGCAAATGGGCATACATTACGGACAGTAAATGTTGGTAGGCGGATTAGCCTCGGGCAATGAGGGCAGTGAGGAAATTATCAAAGCCAGCTGCCAAATCCCAGCTTGGTTCTCTCACTGCCCTTGCATGTCACGGCATCAGGACACACAAGGGAGGGAGGCTGATGGATGCCAACCCTGTTTTTTTTTAGCAGTGAACCAGTACTGGCACACTCCTACTTCTCAAATGAATTGATGCTCTGTTTCCTGGATGCATGATGTGTGTAAGTGAGCACTGTGGTGTCCCCAGGATTCACAAGGTGAGCTTTAGCGTGTGTTTGTTCACAGCAGCATGGGGCTCAAAGATTTGGCTCATTCTGTCACCTTGTCTCACCCCCTCGGAAGCTGATCCTGGTTAGTATATGGATGGGAGAATGTCTGCCGTATACTGTACCACGTGTTGTGGGCTTAGGTTGCAGGGTGACCAGCAGATGGAAGTGCGGGATTTTTTAAAATGTATAATATATGGAAAGCTTTGAGCGTTAGCCCTTCGAATGCTTGTGCTTTCTCCAGGTACTCGAGTTTATTTCCGCATAAAGCTTAAGGTTCATAAATGTGTAGTGACGTAAATAATCACTATGGTGTTTAGCGCCAGCTACTGTCACACGAGTGGAACTGTACGTCTTGAGCCTCTCTCTGGATATGACATGCAAGCTGGCCCTAGGGGGCATACATACTTCTGGTGATGGTCTGAGAGAGGGGAAGTAAGGACGTGACAGTCTGGGTGAACCCGAGAGGGCACGTGACCGGGACAGGGTAGCGAGGGGGCCTAAAAGGGGGCTCGAGGGACACGTGATGTTTAGTCGAGAACCTTCCGGTAAGAGCCAGAAGGGGGCGTGGCCGACGGCGGAGCGAGGCCACGCTCAGGAGCATAAAAGGGAAGTCCCGAGAGCAATCACGGCTGTCTGCTGGAACGTAACTCTCGGGGCTACGTCTCTTCGGTCTTCGGTCGTCGGTCTTTAGCTCAGCATCGTGGATCAGGCAACATGTTGCTGACCTGACCCGTGTATGTAGTTACCCTGTTGGGGTCCAGTTAAGTAGTGTACGTTCATGTAGTTACCCTGTTGGGGTCCAGTGAACTGGTGTACGTTTATGTAGGAACCCTGTTGGGGTGTTGTAATAAACGTGTTGCCTCCAAGTAAAGTGTGTGCCTCCGTGGGACCCACTACAAATGTAATTGGTCCAACATTGCAGTGCAGGACCCTACTGAAAGAGAGTCTTGAGACAGTGAGACTTTCGTGGAAAAAAATATGTAAATATGAAGGGACAGCCCTGCAATTGCTTGCTCATCCCACTTGTCGATAAAGGCCCTCCACTATCTCTAGAAAGCTAATACAGAGGGATTTGGCTTTCTCCTCCATGCTAACCAGTTGTCTTGGAAGAGGTGGGAGTACTCATATTTTACGCCACCACAAGCCACCTGCCGATTGACTAACCTTCCTGGCTGAATAAAGGACGTGACTATTGTATGCTTCCGACACATCGCTGAGCATTCGCTGATGCCAGGGCTGCAGACAAAGGAGATGATGGTGAGTCTTGGTCAAAATAATGAGGTCACGACGACGATGCGCCTTTTTGCGTCTTGGTGCAGATGCCCCGAGAAGGAGCGGCCCAACGCGGTGAGGCCGTGCGTGCTGCTCTGCCGCAAGGATTGCATCACCACCCCCTTCAGCGACTGGAGCTCATGCCCTGCTACCTGCCAAGAGCGTGCGTGCCTTCTACACATCCATCCCTGTTCACGTATTAATGTCATCATTTAACGTCCTTAATTAAGAGTTTCATTTATATTTAGTTTTTTGATCATTATAATTTTGTGCAAAAAAAAAACAGCTGTCTACAAACTGGCGAGGTGTCTCAGCTTTAAAGGTCGCATCTTTCAAATCCTGCTTGGCGCGTTGACTTGGACCATCAGTCCCTCTGTAAAATAAGTCAACAGTGGTTTTCCTTTTAATCGTTGAATTTCCACCACTGGCTCAGGGATGCAAACAGGAGATGAGCACCGCCTCAATGCTCATTTGAACAGGAAATAACTTTGACTTCTTTAGTTTATATAAATTAGGAGATCGGGGCTCCGGCATAGAGCACTTAAACGCCTCTCAGCTGCTTTAATGAAGCCACGTCGAAGCCAAGTTTGTAATTATTTTTTTCTATTCAGCGAGTGACTCGCAGGTGAAAAATTCAAAGAATAATTTCAAAGTTTCCAAAACCACATCACTGCAGAGCGATAATTTCATTTTTCCTCATTCTTTGTAAAAAAAAAAAAAACCCATAAGATTTCTGTGCCCCAGGGTTATCGTGTTATACATAAAATCATGCTGCTTGCTCCATGTGACAGGGACTCTTTGTATATACTGTCTACTCGTGACATCAGATGATAAACATTGGGCTGTGCAAGCTTTTTCTTGCCGCATATTCTACTGCTACACAGAATTCACTGCTACTTACAAAAGGTCAATGGGCATACATTCAATATTGTGATATGCGGAGAGAAAATGGGAAGGGAGAAAAAATATAAAGGCTTGTTTTTTTTCTTTTCCATATCAAATACCATTCTATCCCATATTGTTACACGGAGTGATGTAATTATAGATAGCCCAAGTCATTATAAATTGTTAGGTGTTCAGCTTATTCTTTTCCTTAACCTCGTCTCCCTACATTATGGTTACCTATCTTAAAAAGTGTTTGTCGAATGACATTTCCCTTGGCCTATTAAAATTAGCGGTACCTTTGTCCGTTGAAAAGCATAAACTTCCCCTCTATTAAACCAACATTTCAAAGCCCTTTCGTATTAAACTGACATGCATTGAACACTATTGCACAAATTAGTTGGCGGAGAGATAACCTGAAAATGGGATTCGATCACCTGCATAAAAACAAAAACAAACAAATATCCCCCGTGTAGCCTTAACAGATTGTTTAGGCAAGCGCTTTTAGCGAGAATCTATGAAGGCTGGCATGGTACACAAGGGGGTGGGTGGCCAGCACCTCGCCCGACTGTCTTTGGCTCCCTAGCGGCGATGATTTTATACACCGCACCAGGTACTCATTTGAGGTTGGGTCGACCTAAGGGAGGCCGAGGACCAGTTCAGATAATCGTCACTGGTGTTGGCCGTGAGCGAGAATTGAACTCGGATGGTTGGATTTTTTAGCGTGGAGCGCTAACCGCGACACTACATGACTTAGCCACGCAGGCTCTGCAAGAGGTCCAACATATACTGTATGTAGTGACATTGTGGTGCCGGCCCAGGAGGGCCATGGCGTACAATGTACTTACGTCGCGGACAGCACCGTGTGTGTTGCTGAGTGAGGCCGGCTCTAGAATAGCACGGCGTGCGATGCACCGTCATCGCTTACACCCCGTAGTTGGGTGTAGTACCAGCCCTAGCGGGGCTTAGTGAGTACTGGGATAGCGCGGGCACCACGCATGCCGTGCAGTGCGGGCTCCCACAAAGGGGAGCCCGCAGGGAGAGGGTTGCCCCGGGCCATGGCACTCTGGTTGACCCCGTAGGGACGTGATCCGGAGTGTCCACAGAGAGGCCCCCAGGTGGGGGGGCTAGGGGGTGATCACGTGTCCGGGGAGAGCTCTCGAGAGAAATCGAGAGGGAGCTAGAACGCTCGCGAAGGTGGGCGGGGCTGAGGGCGGAGCTGGCCCCGACCCGGGAGGATATATATGAGAGGGACCAGGGTCGCTTCGTTCTACAAGCTGGAAGCTCTACGCCCTACGTCTGAAGAGGCACCAACACGTGGCCGGAGACCCGAGTGAGGGTCCGATCCATTATAGCCATAACTCCTATGTGCAGTGTAGTTAGCTGGGTGGTAACCACCCTAGGCAGTATCTGGTAAAGGGGCAGTTACTCCTTTAAAAATACGTGATATGAATAAATGTGTTACCTCTGAAGAATAACGTCTGCAACTCAGTTGGACTCACTACAACTGGTGTCGGAAGTGGCCAACACGCTAGTCTACATAGCTAGCGGTAGACTATGTCTACACGTCGCAGACCACGTACCAGGACATTGGACAGCGAGGAAGAGGACCTCGTGCCACCTACGCTCTGGAGGATGCGGGGGAGACGCTGCCAGTGGAGCAGAGCGCCATCCTCATGGAGATCAGTCCCACGGTCTCACCAGTGAAGGAGGGAGCGGCGGTGCCGCTCGTGGACGACGACTCCACCGCCATTTCGCAGCAGGCGGGAAATTCGGCGGCGCAGCCCGCATCCTCGGCCGCCATTTTGTCGCCGGCGCGGAGCGCGCAGCCCGCCAAACTTGAAAATGCGCCGTCGGCGCCGATGGACATCCCGGCTCTCTGCTGTCGGCTTCCTTTTATTAAAGAGTTTGCGGCTACCAGTGGTGACTGGGTGGCCTTCAAGCGGTGGTTCCTCACAAATGCCGACTTGGCGGGATGGACGGAGGCGGAGGCGCTGCGGGCGTTGCCTGCCGCCCTTGACGACGACGCCCTTGCGGCGTTTCTCGCCATCCCACTGCTAGAGAGGTCCACTCTTACTCAGGCTTTCGACCAGATGGCATCAATCTACAAGCTCGCCACGCGACGGAAGGGGAAAACCGAATCAGCCCTCACCTTCTGTAGTACGTTTTTAGCGCTAGCGAAAGCCACCTCTCCGAAAATGGACCACGATGATATCAACGCGTTGGTCCTCGAGAGACTGCTGGCCTTGGCGAAAGTCCTCCACACCTTTCTTTCAGCCGAAGATGATGACATTTCGTCTCTCAAGATCGCTAAGTGCATCCAGGCCCAGCAACTTCTGCAATGGGACAGGGCGCAGGTGACGTGTGCCGCGTCCTGCACAGAGCCAGGGCCACCTGATGGAGCAGAGCCCATTCCGGCATGCGCGTCGACTCGGGGTGGAGGCAACCGGCATGATGGTGGGGCGCGACGGATGGACAAGCAGCAGCGGCTAAGGTCGTCGTCTCATTCCGGAGGCGGCCGTGTTATCTGCTACAATTGCGGCCTGCCGGGGCACGTATCATCGGGCTGCCACGTACCACGAAGGCGCCTCCCAGCATCGCAGCCATCCTATGCTTCCCTACACTCTAAGGTGAGTCGCGGCGCACTCCACACTCGACCCCTGGCTTCACATCACCCATCTAGACATTTCTGTTTGCGTCCCGGTCGCGCGTCGGTACAGGGGGGGGGTCTTATGAGTGATCGTGATGTTCGTCCACTCCGACCGGATCAGTGGTCGGAGCTGGCCCATCGAGTGGTGGCTGCGACCGCGGGTTCATCTGCCGTGCTTGGGTTCATTGAGGGTGTATAAATAAGGATGCTTGTCGACACGGGTGCGTCGGCAACTATCATCTCGGAATTGATCTACAATATTTTGGCCTCTAAGTATCGAGTTCTAGACCCTGTTGATGCACCATGTTTCGCCACTAACGGTGGCTCGTTGGGTATTATTGGTCGGATAACGGCTGAGGTGCGCATCGCTGCAGTTAAATTGTCGGGACATATTCTTGTCTCCACGTCCCTGGCTGTTCTATGTTTACTTGGAACCAATTTCCTGGGAAGAATGCCATTACAAATCCGTATGGCATTTTTGCCTTCCCCCACCCATTTGTGCAAGGCCAACGCTACGGTGCAGGCCTTTGCACGCCGAACGGTGAGAATCCCTCCCGGCGCGAAGATGTTAGTTCCACTCCGCTTATGGAAACCGCTCGATTTGGGGGCTACAAAGGACGGAATTGTTTTGGGACCTTCTAATAAGGTCGGTCATGGACTGACTTTGGTAGTGGATCAGACGTGTCCAATGACCAGGAACCTTTTATTCGCTTCATCTCCATATCACAGGGGCCAAGTGTCGAATGTGTCCAACGAGCCGGGGTGTGTGCCCGCTGAGGTTGATTCTCAGCGGAGCGATTCTGTTCCGCCCCCAAGTGCCGCGCGACTGACGTCTCCCGAACGGCCGCGCATGCCGGCTTCGCAGGCTTCGAGCGTGGAGGATCCGTTAACCCGGCCTATTGCTCTCCATGAGGAGCCGGGTTCAGCGGAACATTTGCACATTCCCCCCGGGACCTCCAGGGTGAGCGAGCCCACCTCCTCTGGGGGCTCGGCATAACGGACTACCTCAAAGACTCGTTTATCATGATCTCCATACACACACGCTCCCATGCTGTCACGCTTGTTGAGTCGTGGCGGTTATTGGCTGATCCTGGCCGCTATTGAGCTCACGAGCATCGTTACACGGTGAAGGTGGGAGGGGAGGTGGTAGAGGGGATCCCGAAGGTTCACGCGTTTTTCTTGTTGTTGTGTTGTTATAGGTTCGTTGGTTTACACCCTTTTCCCTGCTGGTTTTGTACATTTGTGGATAGTGTAATTTTTGTACAGGTGGGTTGGGATATTTATTGATGTTCTTGTTATTCTTGAGACACACTGTTTTTTTCTCTCTTCCCTTTCACTAATTTCTTCATTCGGAGGGGGAGTTTACAGTCGGGACGGCTGAATGCTATGAAGGGGGGGGGGCGGGGGGGGGGTGATGTAGTGACATTGGGAATGTCACTGTGTGGTGCCAGCCTGGGAGGGCCGTGGTGTGTGATGTACTTACGTCGCGGAAAGCACCATATGTGTTGCTAAGTGAGGCCGGCACTAGCATAGCATGGCGTGCGATGCACCGTCATCGCGTACACCCCATAGGTGGGTGTGGTACCAGCCCTAGCGGGGCTTGGTGAGCACTGGGATAGTGCGGGCACCACTCATAGCGTGCAGTGCGGGCTCCCACAAGGGGGAGCGGGAGAGTGTCAGCTCAGGGACAGGATTGTCCCGGGCCATGGCACTCTGGTTGACCCCGTAGGCACGTGACCCGGAGTGTCCACAGAGAGGCCCCCAGGTGGGGGGGCTAGGAGGTGATCACGTGTCCGGGGAGAGCTCTCGAGAGAAATCGAGAGGGAGCTAGAACGCTCGCGGAAGGTGGGCGGGGCCGAGGGCGGAGCCAGCCCCGACCCAGGAGGATATAAGGTGGGTCCCGGAGAGGGACCGGGGTTGCTTCGTTCTACAAGCTGAAAGCTCTACGTCCTACGTCTGAAGAGGCACCGACACGTGGCCGGGGACCCAAGTGAGGATCCGATCCATCGTAGCCGTAACGCCTATGTGTAGTGTAGTTAGCTGGGTAAAGGGGCGGTTACCTCTTTGAATATACGTGTTGTGAATAAATGTGTTGCCTCTGAAGAATAACGTCTGCGACTCAGTTGGACTCACTACATATATAGCCTCGCTTCCTGATTCAGTTTCGCAAGTCCAACGTGGCCACCCCTGACGATGGAGTAAAGGAAAGTTGCACCATTTAACGCAATGTAAGCAATCACATACAATTACTCGCATCGTTAACACTTTGCGCATGAACCATTGTTAACACTTTGAGTATGAACATTCCCATTGAAACATACTGCAATTGGCGGATACACTAAGAGGGCATACAGTTCAATTGCACTTTGAGCTGAGGCAGCTCGCTGAAACTGTCCATGCGTCCAATTCAATGAATCCAAATGTTTGATAAATGTGTTGCATGGGAAGTAGAATGACTTTCAAAGATAAGACCTTGACTGTAATCTACAGGATCTCTTCATATTGTACCATACTGAATCCTGCCCGATACACGTAAAAGTTGCCATATATTGGTTATTTTTAATTGGTTGTTAAACTTTTTAACCGTCCAATAAAATGTCATCCCTTTTCCACTCACCTCCCATCTCTTTCATAAGGTGTGCCGTTAATAGACTGAATTAAAATTGAATTCCTCATATGCTGTACGTGCATTATGATGCACTTCTCATCTACAGCATCATTTGCATCACGTTTTTTTGTGGAACTCGTTCTCTGTCAGTCTCGATAACATTTCCCATTGAATAAAAATAAAATGAACAACCTTTCATTAATCCACTGCTAGATAAAGGCTTCCCCAAGTAATACCGGCAATGAAGGTTGTTCGACTCGATACTTTTTTTCACACTGGTTAATATGGATTAGTGAAGAAGGCACCCCGGACCTGTTCAGACATCGCTCACCACTGATGGTAGCCATGGCCGGGAATCAAACTCAGGTGGCGAGGTGCAAAGCACATTGCGTGAACCACTGCACCACCGCTTCTCCAACATTGTCCGTTCAACACTCACTCGACATTTTCATTCCGTCTTGTTTGTGCAAGGCATTCTTCATATAGTCATCACTTAATATTAAGGTTATTACAATTTAGTTTTTTTACAATTTTGTAGTCACACTCTCTGCTCTGTTCTTGGGTTATAGCACGTATTGTTCGGCTGGGAGCTTCTTCAAGAGCTACATTCATTTCCTGAAGGGGTTGCCGAAGAAGCTCCCCAGCACGTGGAGCAGAATGTGCCGAACACCACGCATTACAACCCGAACACACATGGCAGAGTTTGTGTCCTCCCATGCTAAATAGAGAAAGATTTAAAAAAAAAACGATCTGTTGTGTTCTCCATGGGCAGGTGGTGGGTCCCCCAAAAAGCAGCGTCGTTGGCGCATGGTCATCCAGCAGGCATCCCACGGCGGGAAGGAGTGTCCGCAGAACCTGCAGGAGGAGCGCGACTGCCAAGACCGGCCGCCCTGCCACGCCTACAAGTGAGCGCCACCTGCGTTGTCCTTTGCCACATGTCAAGTCCAAGGCGCGCAGATTTATAGAGGCAATTTAAGGCGCCGTGACAGTTGGAATTCCGGCTGTGAAGCAGCTGGGGCTGAGCAGGCAGGAGAGCTGTAGATATATCTAGAAGGCCAATGAGCCATCCACAGAGCCATTATACATTATTCATTGCTCAAAACCGTCCGTTTGTTTATTCGGTGACATACGTGCATTTGAAAGTTTTACCGAGCTTTGTTCTGCAAGGCGACGGTCGCCACACCGTACTTTTTTTGAGGTGCAAATTCCCTCTCCAGAAACAAATCTCTTGGCAAGTGGGTTCCAGTGGCTGTGCATATCGTTTAGTATAGACTGCAGAGAATCCATCGAGTGTAATCTGTTCAGGGATGTATTTGTGGAGGTGAAGGTTAGTAAGAGCCGGGCGCACAGCGGCTTTGTGATGCATCCAAAGGAAAAAAAAACGGGAAGACCGTTGTGCTGAAATTTTTATAAAAGCAAAGTGAAAGTTCCATAATGTTAAGAAAGGTCTGCAGAGCAAAAATCTTTATTCAGCTTTATCTTCATTTAAATGTGCATGCACGTCTACAGCAGTAAAACAAATGTAGGTGGAAAATTACAACACCAGAACGGTAGACAAATTATAGGGGGAATGGGTTTAACATTAAAGTTGATTTTGACCAAAGTAGACACCCGCTAAAATTGAATGCTACGTCAAATGCATGTAAATTGCCGTTTTTGTGTGCAGTGGTGAACATAATGTTTACCGTGAAGGGATCTGTGCTGTGTGCACAGTAATAAAAGTGTGCCGCTAGTAGCAGACATTACAGTGGCAATGTGCAGGTCATAAATGTTAATGAACTGGACTCTAATGGTGGGGGTTTTATGTAGACCTTGGGGAAAATAGTTTTCATTCAATGCTTTATTTGTATTGCAACCTTAAATATTTTAGGCACAGAATGACATCATCCCAACAAAAGCGTTTAGTGAATCTTGCAATGTATTTTCTCGCGAGGCTGTCCCAATATTTTTCGTATTGAAAGGGATGATGGCTGATGTTTAAGAAGAATGGTGGAGCAACGGCCGAGGAATGGTAGGCATCCGAGAGAACTTACTGAGAGAGACGGGACGGTGAGATCGACTCCTGTACAGGTGCTAGGTGGATTATTATATTGTAGGATCGTGAAAAAGGGTGACCCCTTGGGAAGGCCATCCATCATGGCTGATGATCGTGATGATGATATATTAAGTGTGGTTACTATGCCATATTTAGTAATGTAGTGTTTAACAAGGCATGTATTTGATGTTTGAACATTTTAAAACCTGTTTTATTGCCACAAAGGGTAAAACCTATTCTTATTTTTCATACTTTGATACTGGGAAAAAATAGTCCCATAATATAGCTGCTCAACCCAAGCTATCAATGGTCTAATACGTGCATTGTCATTGCGCTGTTGACCTTTTGGCGTTCTTTGGTCTTAAACTGGTGAGCCTAGGACATAAAGAATGCCAATCAGTTCCGAAGACAATGCATATACTATCAAAGCATGTTTATGTTCATGTTCACCACAAGTACGTGTGGTTAATGCAGACTCGATTTCTTGCAAAGGGTATCTATTTTGGTGTTTGAACATCTTAACGTCTGTTTTATTTCCAGAAAGGGTAAAGCCTATTATTATTATTATTCAATGCAGTGTTTGTTATGCTACGCGTTAAGAAGCAAGACAAGCCAGAGCATTTTGCATGCTTTGTCTGAATGTGTGCACCAGTGTCCATCGCCATTGTCAATCCTTAACTCATGGCAGAGGTCCACATTCCCGTGGTATGAACCCCGATTAAAGTGGCACTCCACTTTTTCAGTCCGAGAGCTGACGGCGGACAAGTTGACCCACTGGTCGGCATTTGCGCTCAACACTTGTATGCCATTTGAACTCAAAGTAGAACTTTCGTGGGGAGAAACAGGGCTTTGATGCACTTCTGCATTCACATGGTACTCATTTTAATGTTAGTTATATATATTTTTTATTTCTAAGAATGTATTTAATGCTAAATTGCTACGAATAGAATATTGCTCGTATTTCATAAAAAAACTCATCATTTGTCAATTTACCTCAAAGCCCCATGGTGTAACATGTGATCTTTGGTTAATTCGTCAATTTATCTTTCTGCCCTTGCACTCCACGATGAAGATGTTTCATTGCACAAAATTACTATTTTTTTGGTAGTCAGGCAGTATTATTGATGAATGCAGTATATTTTTTTGGTATTTAAATTGTATTAATTTTCTTTAATACATTTATGAAATTTTAACAAATACATTTATTTGTTGAAACGTGGGATTCCTATTGAAACGTATCGGTGATGAAAACACGCCGCCGCTAACCTCGTCTGAACGACGTGTGATCACACGCGGCGGAGGGGCGAGTGAGCCGCCTGCGAGTGACGCCGTGGTGGGTGGTGCGCGTGTGCGCCTGGTGGCAGGTGGAAGGCCCACAGGTGGCGGCCGTGCCAGCTTGCTCCGGACTACGTGCGTCGAGGCATTCCGGGGGCGGACGAGGCATGTGGGCCAGGACTTCAGACACGAGGTGAGCGCGACCCCTGACCAACCCAGCCAGCCCACCCACGCAGCCATTCACTCACTCACTCACCTACCCCACCCCACCCTCACCAACGCTCGACTCCCCCCCCTCTCTCCGCCACTGCCCCGCCTGTGACATACATCATGTCAAATACCATTGCTCCTGATTCTGGCTTGGCGTGCTGTCATACGGGGTTGCTGCTTGTCCAAGAATCGCAGCAGTCAAGACAGTTTGTGGGAAGTGGGGCAGCAGGAGTCAAGACGTCGAGCCCTGCTGCCAAAGCCCGGTGAATAAAACGACGGCTGGAACTCATTCGCGGTTAACCTTGCTGTACCCTGGCCAATTCACACCCATTCATTTGGCTCTTGCTGTTGCTTTGTCGGGTACATGTGTCAGTTGTATTGTAACAACGACGACCGACACACGTTCTTACTTTACTCTGAGCCTTTATTGTAGACACGAACACTATTTTTTAGGCGTGAACTTCGTCTTCTCTCCAGCCGTCCACTTCCCCTTGAGCTATCCCATTTCATATCCCTCGAGCCCCTTTTGTCGAAGGTTCGCTCAACCTATTTCCCCTCAACCAATCCTCGTCCTGCTTCTCTCACGGCTGTCAACCATTACCCCGACAGTGAACCCTCATTTCACCGCCTTTTACGGTTGAATTTCTCTTCCAATCAGTTTAATTCTCTGAGCATAACCAATCCTCTTTGAGGCCTCCCTGCACCAATCAGATGCCTTTCTTAAATCCACTCGGCCTCTGTCCATCCATCGGTATAAATGGGTTCACGAGAGTTAGTTGATTGGCAGGTCAGGTGTGGCGTCGTGAAGTTTGGGTGCTCCCGCATTTCTCAAGCTGTCTGCCAAGCGTGCCGGAGGAGACCAAATATCCTCCAGAGGACGCTCTCTAGCACCCACTTGGAGTGGAGGCATGTCTGCCAGCAATAGCGTGACCTAGCGATTGTACGGCTGCACCTTTACCCCTTTAAAACAAACAAAACATGGAAAACATAAGAACCCCCTCTGTGGGACCAGGTGTGCCCGTTCGTCGTCCAAGAGGGACATTTCAATACTTTTTCATCCTGTAAAAGCCATTGAGAGGTGGGTACATGCCCTGGAGGGCTGGAGGTGTCGATTGCTTGATGTATTCTTTAGTAAAGGGCAACATCACTCGCCATCTGGTTGGAAAGGGCAGCATAACTCAGGGTGTCACTTGGCAAGAGTGGGAGAGCTTTGTTTTGCCGGGGCTGCCTCAAGAAGCAGATCGCCCACGGCTTAAATAGTGCGACTAATTTGTCATCATTGCTTTTTTGTTGTTGTTATCATTATTATCAGATGAAACTTTTTCTATCCTCCCTTACATAATAATATCATGTAATGTGTAAAATTAGTAGACTTTATAAGGTAAAGGCGATACCAGGTAAAGGGGCAGCCCTGCAATTGCTTGCTCAAGCCACTGCTGGTGGAAGAGCCTCCACTCGAGTGGAGCCCCAGGGGGCTGCTCTCGAGGCTATTTTGACCTATGCGTCCTTGCGAGTGAAGCCGATCCACCCTGTCCCTCTGCTCCCACTGTGAATCCTCACGAGCGGGGACAGGTCGGCTAAATAGATGACGGTAAAAACAATAAAAAAAATAAAGTTCGGAGACGATGAATAGAAGTGGGCGACTCCACAACAGCTGAGCACCGGAGGGTTGGTGGGGGTGTGTGAAACGGCGTAACTTTATTTCAAAGCCTTTCTCGGAACGGCAATTGCATAGCTACAATAGCGATCGAAAACACTCTCCACGTCACAACACCCAAACTGAATTCCTTAGTGCGAAGTCTGCGCAAATCTAAATTGGGTGGCGTGCCCCGTATTCTGCTGTGCACATGGAGGATCGGGCTCCAATGCCTGACCATCATTGAATCACTGGATAATCATAGCTATACAAATTGGTGTCTTGGGTTCCCATTTTCTGTAGAGTGCACAATTATAAGTGTGATAAATCACAGGCGACCTCACACCAGCTGCACGAGCCAGATGTCTTGGAATAGGAAGGGATACCCACACTTTACCCCACCACATGTGAACCTGCTTTTCGCCGGGAATCAACAAAGTAAACGGGTTTCCAGCTCTATTGAGTCGATCTGAGCCATTTGTGGAAATTCCGTATTGCTGTGGCAAAATGCGCGTCTCTCCATAGGACAACTTATCGTTCTAAGCCAGTTGCTGTACAATAGCATTTAAACATGTTTAAAGTCTGTTTCATGATGGTGATGTGACTTTAAGAAGTTGGCTTTCGCGACCAATATTATCCATAATAGAGGTTTTTGAGTTAGATCGTGTAAATATAAATGTGTCGTTAAACCCACCACCACCTGACACAGACAATTAGTAAGGTTTGTCACGTAAACACAACATGGCGATTCGTTACTAGTTCAGCACACAGGTGTGGAAACACATTGCTCCCGTTCTCTGTGGAGCGATAATTACACAGGCAATGCGGTGTGTGGGTCAGTGAGGTCAGGATGACGGCAAGCCACTGTCAAGCCACAGCCTCACTGTGAAAGTTGGGGGCGTCTGACGAACCGGTGGCTTCCCAGCGGTTATTGGTTCGATTACTGATGGGATCCGTGAAGTTCTTCCCTTACTTAGTCAGGAATAATAGTTCTACTTTACTCTCATTCTATCACATGAACTGGCTACTGACTCAGTACTGAGGCTGCTGTTTTTTTGCGCTAATGTATAGTTATCAGCACTGTTATGTCACCTTGTTGAAGGGAGAAAAGCAAGGACTATAAAAAAAGATACCATGATTCTCTTGTCCAAAATTGTGTGGGTGTCTCTTATCCATGTCCAAACATCTGGGGGTATGCGGACCCCCACAACACACCACAGAGTGGCTGTGCCCCTCACAGGCAATCATCACAATCCTGATACTGTGAGGAGCAGTGGCACCTGGCACCGTAAGCCACGCGGGTTGCAGACAACCCCATTTCCACATCCAAGTCCTACCAAAAACCACTCTGCGGTTGGGCTTTTTGCCATTTCCAATATGAATTATAATGTTTCTCCAAACCCCTGCGTGGTACTGGTGATAAATTGAGGGGGAATGCTGCTGGCCAGCCTACACATGGCAGGGACAGGTTATCTGAGTTGACCTTGTGCAATTCAATGAGCTGTGAAGTGACAACAGAAACAGTGTGTGGCACAGACGTCTGCTCTCTTAGCTGCAGGCAGTACACATTTTGATAAAAGCTTGTTAATTTTACGTTGCTTGGATCAAATGACATGCCGCGTAGTGATTATTTTATTTATTTTTTACTTGGTTAGCTCCTTAATGCTGCAGAATAGCCGGCATTGTTTGGAAAAATCGTAATATTTGATAACTCCTGTGTACTGTAATGTTTATATACCTGTGAACTTGACAAAGATGCGTTGCTATTTATCTAGACATGTGCAATTTAGCAGCAATTTATAAGAGTGAGGTGGGGGGATGGTGGAGAGATTTTCACACTGTGCTATGAACCCGATGACCTAAGTTTGATTCCATGCCATAGTGAATTTTTGTCAAATAACTTCCATGGCTTTTACGCAGCATGGGGAGACCTTCATCCAGCTGTGGATTTACATAGAGCTATACATTATTATTATTATGAGGTTATAATTCATAAGAGTACATGCCACGGATATATGATTAACTAAGAAATGCAATTTAAAGTGAGCTTGATAACAACAACAACAAACTATTGTTATTCAGGTTTGTTTTCAACAATGTTTCGGTCTAGTAATGTTTTTTAAGTCACAAAACGCAATCGTATTGTGGCAATGTTGAGAATGCATGACCTTTCATGACCAAAAGCATCTCGTGGTGGTAATACATATCTGCTGCCACTGCCACACTTGTGCACATTGCTCCTTTGTGTGGGATTGGGCCTATTAGTGCAATGAAGAAAAACCTTTCAATTCCTCACACAAGCCTCTGAGTGCACAAGACAAGTAAATGGCCTTCTCCTCAGGGCCACTGGAAACCTTTATACGCTGATATATTCCGGCTTTCCTCTCGCAAATGTACACTGAAGAGCTTTTTGCCAACTCCAAAGAATTGAATAAAAAAGCTGCATCCCCTGATATGTTCTGATAACCTGTCACACTCACATCAACGGCAAATATGGATGCAACATTCGTGGTCAAGTCAGAGACAGGGAAGGGAGTGAGAGAGATGCACCAAAGCACACACAAAAAAATCGCACAGCACTGCAATCGCAGGCCGATTGTGGCGTAAAATCACGTTAGCAGCCAAGTCCGGATATTATTATTATTTGGAAAACTGTTACAAAATGTAAAGGTTTGTTAAGAACATGATATAAAATGCGATTAATAATATAAGGCTCTATATTTATTCAGCTAATTCCCTCTGTGTACAAGAGGCCTGAATAAGGCAGCCGTCATTCCACCATAAAGTGGCAGAATGATGGCTTGTTGCATGTTTACGCCACGTTGCTTACATCTTGAAAGTTGAAAACATTACCACAGTTAAAGGGTATTTAAAAATAATTCATAATAATTGGTGCAATTAAGCTCACTTTAAATGTATTGATTATTCATTCAGGTGTTTGAGATGTGTATCTCATTTTGCATGATAAAAATAAGAGCAATTTCCAGCATTTCGGTTAATCATCGCTGGACAAAGGCTTCCTCACGCTGTGTTTGTGATGCGGACTATTTGAACAAATGTAACCATGTTGATTAGAAGGGGAGTACTGGTTCAAATATCACTTGCCAGTGAGCAGTCATTCGAACCACTATCATTATCATCATCATCTGTTTGTAAGCCGCAACGAAGCCGTTTTTAACATCGTGGATGGCAGAAAAAAAATCTCTCGCACAAACACGCCTATTAGTAGTGTGTGTGTGTGTGTTCGTGGTGCTGGCCACCCACTCCTTCGTGTACCGTTCCGGCCTTTCATAGATGCTCGCTAACAGCACTTGCCCCTACAGTCTGTTAAGGATATACGGGGGATCTTTGTATTTTTGAGATGGATTGAGCCTAATTTGTCCGGCCTGTTCTTTTTCAAAATCCAACGTCAGCACGCCGAGTTTGGATTCTCCTTGCCACTTTTTTAGCTGCTAATGGGCCGCAGGAGTGTTCGCAGAATGGGGCATCACCTTTTCCGCACGGTACAAGGGGGTCAAAAACTGCCACATTAATTAGGAAGATTACGTTCTACAGAATTCCCACGTAAAATCAGAATTATACAAGTGTGCAAACATACGGTACGCAAATCATGTGCAGTCTATCTAGGATTAAACTCAGAACGGATTGCGATGCTGGGGAAAATGAATAAAAAGGCTTTCAGGCTCGGTGTAGAGATACCATTTTGTATGTACGCTGTTGAAATTCTTTCGCACCGTAAGCATCCAACCGTGCTAATTGGAGGTGCTTTTTGTGTTTCGACTGCTTATGAACACGAAAAAGCAGTTTGATACAGTGGAGAACACCCAAGAATTATCTAATTTGCCCGGTCAGTCCAAACATTGCTGGATGCTGTTGTGAACTAATTTCTGAGCTACAAATGCGACTGCTCATTTTTTGCCAGCGTACTTTACAAGGACTGTGTCTCGATCAACCGGAATGCACCCGATATCGTCAGACTTTGGAAGCTAAGCAGGTTTGAACCTTTTTTTTGCTGCATGGGAGACAACCTCGAAGCTGTGAGAATCAGAAGGCAGTGCAGGAAAATCCATCTTTCTGTACATCCCCCCCCCACTCCCACCTTCAGAAATCCACACTGACCAGAGTGGTGAAGTATGGCCACTAACCCTCATGACCTGTACGGCGTGGGGGGACCCTGATCTAGCAGCAGATTGACAAATGGGCTGTACACTACGTTATAAACTTGGCTGGCCAACTGTATAACCACGTGACATGGCTATAAGAAGTTCTACTTACAGGGTACATTGAGACACGATATCTCTTCTGCGAGGAGACTTTGCAAAATTGCTCCAACATATATTAACGTGCATCACAATATCTTTGTCGAATATTGTTAACGTGAACACTTTGCCTACCCTTTCTGCATTGCTTCTACGAACACAATGGTGGATGCCACTTCTTTCACAACCATGGGATCAATATTTTGTTGTTATATTTGTTGATGCATTCACTTACATTTTATGTAAAAAGCGTCTCTTCTGTGCCAATGTAGTTGATGCATTTTCCTTTTAGATCCTAAAAGCTTTCATGAATCATCCTGTGTTGCCCTCTGTGTAGAAAGGATATAACATTTGCACGTTAACAGTTGTGCATTACGCTTAGCCACCTCCAATGCCCTTGAAGCTTCTGGCAGCCCTTATCCGAGCTCAATTCAGTATTGTCAGTGTCGTGAAAAAAGAACAGTCAGTGTTTTCTCACCTCGTACTGTCCGTGAGAGCCACTTGAAATCATCGTGATCAGCGCCCTTTTTAGGTTTTTCATTTACAGCCTACGCCTGGGCATGTTTGTGTTTGAAGGACCTGTTGAAGCCCAGGTAATAAACGGGAATAATATGCGTGGCAAGAGTCACAAGTTGGGTTTCAACCCTCCTCACCGCTTGCGATGTAACATCCTGCAAACGCGTGCCAATAAAAACGACCAGCCAAAACTCTACTCAGTTCATTGTCGTCAAATGCAGCAAAAATGCATCGTTAGTTGTTATTTGAGTGCTTGTATTGAGTACATTGGAAAAAAGTTACTTTAGAGCAATTCCTTCCACCTAACATGATGATGACATCTGGAGATGCATTCAAGAAAACATATGTCTGAAAGCTTTTAAATTACATTGCCTTTATTATGTTTGGTAATGTTGGCCATGTCTGGCTACTAAATGATTAAGTACACGAGGAAATCTTCAGCAGGAGCATGATAGAAGTGGAATATGATACAGACATCTTCTTTGGTTATTTCGGTAAAGTCACGTAGAATGAGAATAAAATAATAAAATAAAATAAGACAATAAAATGCTCACGACGTTTTGACCACAACACAAGTAGCCCTCTTCAGGTGAAAGAACAGAACTGTCAGGACGACAGAGCTTGAATGAATGCTGTGAAGATTCGTAGCGTCTTTTAAGCTCGGTGAGAGGCGTGGAGAGCCTTGACAAAGGAGTTTACCTATCAAAGCAGGAGAATTTATCATTGAAATAGCTGAGGGATTAGCTTGTGACAGAAATAGCTGTGTTAAAGTCAAAGTTTACATATCAACAGAGGCATTTAGTATATGAACGCTTCCTATACAATATATCTGTTTGTGTATTATTCTCATAATTTATACATACGTTCTTGATGCAAACCTGCAGCGCAGCAATTGTGATCTTGAAGTATTTGTGTTATATTGCAATGAACAAATACATTAAAAGTCAAACTCCTTGATATTAAGCCATGTTGTATGGTGGAATTTCATCGCATTAGACCGATGCGTATGAGCACCGTTTGATGTGCTTGACCCCTCTCTCATTTCGCACAGATCGAGTTTAAATGGCCTAATGTGGAAGTGGCTCCTCATGTGCCGAGTGCCTCGACACACGGGAACCCCGCTACCTCAGCCCCATGCGCCGATGCATCTTGAATATATAATAATGTCAGGCTGGGTGTTAGCGCCCAGTTTGAAAGGAGGGGGATGGGTGCTGAGCAGTTAAACCCCCGCCGTGTGTGTGTGTGGTGCGATGATGTTTCCACCTTCATGACACCATTGCTTCTGTTAGAATTCACCGATGGTACACGGTGATCATCTGATAATGCTCAGAGGTTCGTCTGACAAAAGAGCAGACGGCAAAGCTACGCAGAAGCGGTAATTGCTTTTTGTTTTATTTTGTCGCATTAACGTCTGGCTTTAGCGGTTTTAAATGTGGTTGTCATAGAGTCAATTGTGTCACTCCACTGTTCTCATTAATACCTAAATGATGTCCTGGCTGTTAAATTTACATGTATTAACATATCATCGGGATGTAATGAGTCATTGGGCTTGCCAAATTAGAAATTGGCAGGCTTGGCTGCTTTATGGCTTGTGCGGAAAATGGATTGATATAAATTTTCTTTCTGAGTTTTTAGTTAATCTACCACAAATGTACATGAATGCGTTTATAGGATTGAAATTAATCCATTGAAAAGAGACACACAATGCATACAAACATATTTAGGAATTTCTGAAATTCAACTATGAACGATATTATCACTGAAACGCAAGGATTTGTGTAAAATGCTTTTGAAAGGGTAACGGCATAATTGTAAATGTTTAATGAGTAAGACGCCACTGTAGCATTATTCCTGGCATGTGCTAGCTTTCTAAATAATAGATCAATGCAAAAAATATGCATCCAAACGTTTTAAAATAGAATTCCACCAGTTTTTATTTGTTTTTCACAGATTTGACTTGTTAGTAAATTCAATACTCACAAAGTATTGCCTGAATTCAGATCACATTTGTGATGACGGTACTACAGCCTACTCTTGATTATCTGGGTCAATGTGGAGGGGTGGGTGGAGATGTGGGTGGTGCGGTAGAGGGCGTTGCCCAGATTGAACAAAACACAGATAGTGAAAAAAACATGGACTTAGACTTTTAACACGTACTGTATTGAGAGTGCAGGTTGAGAATGCGAGTTTTCATTATTTCTCAAAGGAATAGGTCACTGATATATGACTTGGGAACAGGTATTAATAGACGCAGTGTGTGTGGAAAAGGCCCAAATAAGTGTTAAATACTCAGTATTCTACTTCCATTCTTTTTTTTCAAAAGCAAAGTGAATTCACAACCTGATTAATGCACCCAGAGATAACCCAGGAGTTAACTGTGTATTTTGTATAATTGTCCACGTGGATTTATAGTTGTCACATTTTTTTACATCTATTTAGCTGAATCATAATGAGAAGGCCATCAAAGAAATGTATCTGTTTTCAGTCATTATTGCAAAGCTGCTGCAGGTTTTTGGTGTCTCAAAAGAGCCAAGCAGGTTTTCACCATTGACATCGGACGCTTTCAACGCAGGCACCTCCAATTGTGTGCCTGCCTCCTGCAGGGCTTAATTTCAATTAAACATTCTTACTTTATGTTACAATTTTTCTTCAAATGTTATTGCTTTTTGTTGTTGTTAATTATTCTGCTAATTTTATTACCCAGTTCTTAAATTACAGAAAAGACAGTCATGGAAAAGATCCTGGCAATGTTTTAAAATGTCACTAAAAATATGACTTCATTGTCATGACCTCATTAATCTGTGTGTGCATTTCGCATGATTCACTTACTGGGTTCACATGTACGACAGACCTGGCAACAGCAATTATTTTGGTAAAATAAAAACTATAATTGCTGAATGCTGCAAACACTGCACACTGCACAATTGTAGGATGCATCATGTAAGTATAGAATGTGTCAGTTGCTAGGCACAGTTGTAAATGTTGAAATTGTTAATGAAAATAATAAATATCCTCATGAAGCCATAGTGTGATTTTTACTGTGAACGTGTAAGCAGTGGTATTGTAGCTTAAAGCCAAGTTGCCTAATATCTAATAAAACGCTAGAATTTAAAAGTACATAATCGCGTAAAAACACAAACACGCTATTAACATATGAGAGAATGCCCATTCATATCACAGTTAAGGGAGGAATTGGTATTAAAGTCTCTACTTGCATGGAAATGTTTGGAAAATGTTGTGATGAGTATCTTGTATTGAACTAAATGCATCGAGTCAATAACTAAATAAATAATCCCATTTCAGAGAATAAGGGCAAGTGCCAGATATCCTAGCCTATTATATTTTCTCTTAGATGGCAGTGTTAATGATAAATGTGCTGATATTTAACTTTTATTTGCGCGAGTACCACTGGTAAAGCAGTGTCCTTAATCTTCCATCATCGCACGCCTCACTCCCAAACTTTAACGTCTCTCCTGAAACTCGTTTTCCTCATATACGTGCATCTGATCCCTCCACTCCTTCCCACACAACCCCACCCCATCCTACCCCATCCCTCCCCGCCTCCTCAGCTGTGACCTGCCGGCAGGAGGATGGGAGCCAGGTCGACCCCGAGCTGTGCCTGGCGAGCGCGGGCGCCCCGCCGGCTCCATCGCAGGCGTGCCGCGTGCCCTGTGGCCACGAGTGCTCGTTCAGCGCCTGGTCGCGCTTCTCGCCCTGCTCCGGCGGTTGCGGCTCGACGCGTTCACGCCGGAGATCCCTCCTCGGTACGTCGTGCGGCCCCCCAATTTAATGTTACGTCGTCGTCGGCGTCGTCGGCGTCGTCATCAAACAACGTCCGTTGGGGCACGTCGCTATAGAAGGGGACGATGGCCTGATGGTCAAGAATAGTAGATAGTTTTAACGAGATTTTTTTAATATGTATTCCACGCTTAGAGATGCTAAACACAGAATGCCCGTCATCATCGTCATCATAACATACACGTTTCTGGATTAAGAATATGGGAAACAGTGTTTTTTTTTTTGTGAGGCTCTGGGAATATAGAATTTGTTGTCATATTGGAAGGGATGAAAGCCGATGGTCAAGATGAACAACAGAGTGGCAGCCAAGGAATGGGATGCATCAGCGAGGACATGTCCTGAGGAGACAGAGCGATGAAATCAGCTCGCGTGCAGGTGCTTGATGGATTGTTGGATCGCAAGATTGTGAGAGGTGGCAGTGACCTTGAGGAGGCCAGTGAGTTGACCGTGGCGGATGTTAATTATTAGACGTTTGCTCAGCAAATGTAACAGTTCAGTCCCCCTGACTGTCGCCACCTGCACCAGCTCAGAATAATGTCTAATCTAGATCTGAAGTTTTCGTGACTGCAGGGATCCATACTCTTTGGTTATTTCGGTAATGTCCCGTAGGTATAGTATAATATAGTATAATATACCTACATGACTTTACCGAAAGAACCAAAGAATGTCTAAATTCGCCAACATGTCATAGGTGTATCACGCGTTTACTGAACTGCTTTCTCTGACTCCGGTTTCCTTGAAAAATATATGGTTAGTCACAGTGGGCTGTCACATAGTTGTAAATAAAGTACATGAGTGAATATATGGATGTATTGTGACTTGGCCTCATTGGCACCAGGCATGGCATTGCCCTCCCTCTCTCCCATCAGAGTTTGACAAAGTGAGGAGCAAATGGGACATTTGCCCAAGGCCCAAAACTGTAGAGGACCCCATGCAGAGATAAGCATTGTATTGTTTTTTAAGCGAAATACGACTGTTATTCATATTATAATTTTTTAAATGGAGAATATAAACGATACTGTACTAATTCTTATTGTTACGCTTGTTTACCCAGTAAAGTCTCACTGTGTCTCAGGACACTTTTTTAGGAGGGCCCTGCCTGGTTTTTGCAGCTGGGGACGAGGTTGCTTTTTATAATCCCAATTTGATCATTTCAGGTAATTTTTCAGCATTGAGAAATTTGCCCAATGCTAGTTATCTTTTTTTTTATAGCTATAGTAAGAAAGCAGTAAACTCAGAGAACACCCATGCAGAAGAGGGAGAGCACATATAAACTCGGGTCGGGAATCAAACCCAGGCGCTCCTTGCTGCGAGACACAAGTGTTACCACTTTGCCGCCCAGCCATTCTACTACATTTACTACCTTCATTAATTCCTTCTGTAAAGGAGCGGGCAGGAGGAGGGGAAGGTCTTCCTCTGCTCTGGTGTCCTAGGGGCATGGATACCAAAATCTGGCCCTCTGTCCTATGTTCCCCAGTCCTCGGTCCTTACCACCTTCCTCCATCCTTCTAGATGGCATAAAAATAGAAATTGCTGCTACTCTGTATTACCATTATCCCCAACGCCTCACTTGCCTTGACAGCAAACCCCACATCTGACTGGGTTGAATCAAGACCGTTTAAAAATCACAATTCCAATGAAATCATCACCTTCATGATTATTTAAAAATCACCAACAAGAATTTTGTCCATAATTTTAGGGGATGTTATTCATGATTACTGTCTAGAACTAATTTCCATAATAACTTGTTCACAATGATCAAGTTTATGATCACCTCGCCTCAATCAATAGGCGGTTTATTATTTTATTATTAGTATTTCAGTTTCTATTTTGTTTGTTTTACCACACTTACCATATTTCGGATTTTACAGTGTTGTTATACTCTTATGAACAAAATGGCATAAGAGATAGGGAAGTGTTTTTATTCATTTTATTTCAGCAGGCAGTTTGTATGATTAATGTATTTGGGAGCAAAGCCGACACCCCTCTATTACGCACCGCGCTGAGATGATTCGTATTTGGCAAATAATCTTGTGAAACTAACTGTACAGATGGAGGCAATTTTAATAGACAAACCAACTGTCCTTAGTGATGAGTAACTAGCTGCTGGTATGGGGTTGGTGGTGGTGCTGGCCAAAGCGTTTTGTCAGCAGCATTTGTATTATATTCCACCAGAGGGGTTGCTCCCACAGGGCCCTTGTAAGCCTGATTAAAAACCGGCGCTGCTTTAAATGTGTATTTACAGATGCGAAGGCGCAAAAGCACGTGTTATCGACACAGTGCTCCCTGCGCACATGCTCTCACGCTCAGCTTGTTAATCCCACGGCAGCACTTTGCACTGATGTGTTCCTAATTCCTAAAATCCCTTGGACCCACTTAATGGAGATGCATTGGCACACGGAGACATTCGCAGAAAATACTGTTAATAATTCGTACATTCAAAAAAAGTTAATTACTGTACTTTACATTTTTCAGTCAAGTTGATCATTCTGCTAGAAGCGGGTGGGGGGGGGGGTGGTGGGAGCTTTCATCCCTCCAGAATGTAGATTAGATTTATAAAATGTGAACGGAGATCAAGGGATTCTCTTGATTAAATGTATTCTGTTATTATTCTCTGTTATCCAAATACACAGTTTTAATAATAAAAATTCGCTATTTAATGTGCAGAGATTTGGCTGTGTAAATGGGAAAAAGTCATATTTTTGGCCACTCCCAAAACTGTGACATTAACTTTGAGGATTAAACTAACTTTTGAGCAATGTAGAGCAGTCAATATTTGACAAGGATCATATCGTAATACGGGGCTCAGTAATACCGACATCAGGGGCCTTGCCTCAAGATCCCAAGGAACACAGCCAACACTGGGGACTCCAGCCAAAAGCAGGGATTATAGCTGAAACCAAGGGCGCAGAAGCAAATTACGGGTATTAATCAAAATCAAGGATTTCATCTCTGACCGACGATCTCAACGAGGACATTAACTCGCATATAGAAACCGAAGATTGAAACCAAACCCAGTGTCATGCCCAACTGACAGAACATGCCAAAAGCTAAATTGAAGGAATCCACAGGAATCGAAATACTGATTGAAATATTCTCCTGCGTGTTTCCAATAATGCATTGCGCACTACATCCATAAGCTTGACTATATTAGGTGTAACTTCTTTGCGTGACCTTCCCATGCTTTCTGCTTGAACTCGCCATTACTAGTGCCCTTCCTACATCACAACCTAAATGTTAAGACCCTGCATGGAATTTGAACTAGTCTATCAACTCGCTAGCCTGCTTTGGCTACCATTAACAAACTGTTGTCCAGGACCTTTCTAATTCTTCATTCTTCATCTTGTAACGGGAAACGTGTACTTTTTCACGGGGTTTAATTCCTCACTGATATATTCTAAGGTGGCTGGTACTCTGGAGTATGTGGCAAGCAATTAGTAGCCATATTGAGAGGTATATAGGATGTTAATATGTTCTGGTTCACTGGTAGACTGGAGTGGAAAACAAATGGTAGCTACAGTCATAGTGAAAGGTATACTGGATATGGTGTGCCAGAAATGTACATTTTTTTATTTCTCATTTGCTGGTAGACTGGAGTAGGTGGCAAACCACGAGTAACTACAGTCATAACGAGAACAATACTGGAAGTGAGGTGCTGGGTGTGGAAATATATTCTGGGCCTCTGTCCAAATAGATAGGCCTGGATGAAATTGAGCCCTGCTTGGAAATTCCTCCTCTTCATCTAAAAAACGTTTTGATTCCCAGTACTGTATATATATTTTTTCCTCTAGATGTTTTCCAAACATTCGGTTGGAAAAGCAAATGCATAATATAAATGGGGAAATCATCGGTATAACTTATAATATCCACTGAAAATGAGCTACAGAAGATCTTCGAATAATTCAATAAAGAAGGCTGCAAAGTTGGACTCAATGTACACATGAGTAAAGCAAAAGTCACGTGCTAAACAAGTTCTCTACACAATTGTATTTATCTGTCAAGGGAACACAACTGCAATGCCCATTCGAATATGAACACCGAGAACAGCTATTGAAGTTAGAACGAGATCATTGTGATGAAATAGAGGTGAGCGAGAGTGAGTTCAAGTGCTTTTGGAAAACTTTACTTGATAGTGAAAAGCAATAGGCTGTGTGCCTACATAAGACAGTTTTGACCTGCTATGACATATGGATCAGAAACATGGATATTGACACTTTTTCCAACAAAAGCTAAACAGTGCACAAAGAACCATGATGCACAGATGCACACTTCAAGTTCCTTTGAGATACAGAGAGAAACATAGATTAGAGAAAACACACACACACAGGTTCGAGACAAAATGATAACTGTAAAGAAAAGTGAACGTTCGTGGGCATGACTCGTTACTAGAAGGGACAATGTCTGGAGCGATTGGTAGTGGCTTTTGTATTGTTTGTAAATTTCTGACCCGCCCCTTACTGGACATCTGTAAAAACGAGCTTCATAGCTCATCAGATTCTTCCAGTCTAAATAAATATTCTGAGGTGCTAGGTAGATTGTTACATCACAGGACCATGAGAGATAGAGACGGCTTGTGGAGGCCTTCATCCAGCAGTGAACTGATCGTGGCAGATGATGAACCTGTGAAGTTGATCATAAAATAAGAATACTTCATCAGTTTATAAAATAAACTTAATTGCATTTTTCTTGTAGCCCGACCAGCAGATCACCTATATACGCTTGCTTAATGATGTACAGAAAATGACCCATACGTTTTACAAGTGTACCCCTGGGCCACATAGATCCACGCGCGTATTTTTGCAGACCAGATGTGAAAGCATTTTATACCTCGAAGCTGTTTCCAAAAGTGTGTGTGTTTATGCGATATATTCAAACAAACAGTACATTAATGTCTGATTTAGTTAATTTCTGAACAGACTAAAAGTACTGTACACAGATTTCTTATGAGGAGCTGAACAGTGGTGTAGTGTTTAGCAAACTGCTATAAACCTAACGATCTGAGGTCAATTGCTGGCCATGACTAACTTCAGTGGTGAGCGATATCTGACCAGGTCCTGGGGAGGGGGGCCCCTTTCAACTAATCCACAGAGTATGACATTGCTTTCAAGTGTGGTCAGGAAAAGACGTGCTTGGCTGTCTATTAGTACGAATGGGTCACACCAGTGTGGTAAAGTATGGTCAAACATTCCCCATGACAGTCCTTAATCCAGCAGTGGATTAGCCAAGGGATGTCAATTATTATCATTCACTGTTATTTATTTCGATCAAATAAATAGCACTCGGCTATAAATTTGTATTTCTTGAGGTTGGGATCTGTATTCTATGAACAGCATGTGCATTATTAATTCATCGGTGGGGGTCTCTAAATGTTGCTAATTTTTCACGAAGGAGAAATAAACAGTTATTCATGGCCTTGTTTCCTCTAAGCTCTCTCAAAACTAACATAAACCTATAGAGGGTAATGGAGCACATTCGCATCTGCTCGCTTTTTGGACGTTTATGATCATGGCTAATGTGACTCCAGCATCTGTTCCTCCAGAGCACTCTCTGGGGCTGTGCTGCCCTGATGTAATCACAATTTTAAGGCATCTGCTCTTAGTTTAGTGTAACCCGTGGGGGTGCGTGTTATCGCACTCTCTATTAGTATGGCATACAGCGCAGTGCATGCCACGTACACCAGCCAGCACATTTTCCACTTCCTGAGCAGTGCTCGTTACGGAACGCCCGCGTTTGCCCGGCTGGTATACTAAAAAAAATTAGTGCTAAAGATTGAATTGCAGCATTCACCGCATTACCATTGACCGGCAATGCAATTCCCTACCCAAAAAACTCAAGAACTGCTCGATGAAGTGGTTGAGCATTTTTGGCGTTTGGATTTGTTTTGTTACATGTTGTTTGTTTGCATAACTTTAGTAATGTTTCAAAAAAATGTCATGGGTTTTTAAGCAGTCATTTGCATTAAGCGAAAATACAATTGCAATATTATTACAAAAGAGTGGATACAACACTTTGTTACATAGCAGGTTTTTTTCAAATAATAATATCTAATCACGTTCTGTAACAATCTTTGAAATTGACAGTGAACTCTTCACATGGCTTTATAATAGTAATACTTTACAGGTATATTGATGGATCAACTTATGGGGGTTATTTTACCATACTTCACCAAGCTGGGCAATGTGAGTTGGTGAACAGGGGGCCCAAGACAGGTTGAGATATTACTTGCCAGTGGTGTCAGCTATGGCCAGGAATAAAACGCAGGTCACCAGGATCAGAGCATTTTGTACTAAATGCTTCGCGACCACAAACTGCTCCTTATATCGCTTTGTTTTATAAAATGCTGTACATTCAGGATATGGGACATTGATTTTATAACTTAACTATTGTAGAGGTTCAGTTGAATAATTTATGTCTATTTGAGCAGCTTGGCATGATGACACGCATGGACATCATTTTTAAATGAGTCTAATCTAATGAGATAATCAATTCAAATCAATTGACATTGCCATGCCAACGTGACACATTACAACCCTGAAAACTAAAACTCCCGTCTGATTTATGTTAACAGGCCTAGAAAGTTCAGTGCTGGTTTTTGCTATATTTGTAATATATGCTGTATAATAGGTAACATTGATGCAATGTTTTAATACATTTTATTTACAATGTTATGCATTAACCTACTCTCACATCTAGGAATCAATTATTTAATGTAAATTACATTTCTATACAAAATATCTGCTAATATACCGACAGGAAAATATAACAAACAAGATAAAGAGTTGAAATACGGAATGAAACAAGACTGCATTAATGAGACAAAAGATATTATATTCTTTATTCCAATTGTTACCATGAATGTTAACAACTCATCTTGAGTTTCCATGAGTTGGGAGTGAATAATCATAAAACTGCTAAGCATAAATTATAATGTAGTGTCTTAAGACAATGATCAAAGTCATTTCGATGGCATCTCTTTGACATTGATAAAACAAGTACCATCCATATAGGATGACTGGCCGTTACAGAGGAATGTGGAATTTCCACCACTACTTTAGGACTGTAAATAGATGAGGCGTGCTCCCCCATGTCTATTTGCAGTGGGATAGATTACTTTATTTTAGACTTTACTCAATTATTTTCGAGTGTCAGTGGATAACTCCAAGGCAAAACGGTGTATTGAAACCTTAATGCACCTATCTTATTTCAAGTCTGAAATCATTCTGACGTTGATATTGCTCTTGTTGTTATTGTGCCATGTTCTAATGTGCCTTAAGATTTCGTACATTGTTGTTGCGATGCTGCCGAGGTGTCATGGTTAGCACACTCGACTTGCAATATAGAGGTCACTGGTTCAGCCTTCTGGCACATCAGTTGAAACAACCGACACATTCCTGAAATCCACTCAATTCCACCTTAGTCCACTCAACAGTATAAGTCAGCATACCACCATTAATCATTGGTAGGCCACGTGTTGTGGGGTAAAGTGTGGGTACTCCCACCTCTCCTGTCTGGCTAGTGTGGAAGACTAGGCCAAAATACCTTCGAGGGGTTCTGTAGAGCTCCCTTTCTTGAAGGTGATGTCATCAGCGGCATGAGCAAGCAACTGCGGGGCTGTATCTTTATCCCTTTTATATGGTCATCAATTACCTGTCACGATATACATTGAGTATCGGTCTTTATTGTATTGTTTTATTTGACCCATGTCTCCCTTGAAAGAGAGACGGTCGAAATGGACTCTTACCTGGTTATAGAGCACACTGATGAATGCATTCACTTTCTTGTGATCAAATACTTTGAGATGTACGTTTTTTTAATATTACAGATAAAATATGCAACCTCCCCAGAAATGAAAGTCCTACATTATCACATGCATAAGACATATCACAGAAAAAACCCATTTTGGAAATTACATGAGATTATAAAACATGCCGTTCTCCTTTACCATGTGCATGTTTTTGGACTGATTAAAGCATTTGTATCTGGTTGATGAATGCGTAAATTAACTTTTTGCATCAATATTTTACTTGACTACAGTGGTTGCACTGTTATAGTGTTTGGGAGGTTTGCATGCAATATAGTTCTTCTGCTTCTCTTTGGAAAGTATTTCTTGCTTGTCCTAAACACAATCACAGTGGTTTCCTACTCAAACGATGTCTCTTATTTAAAGTCCTTAGCTAGTGGTGGAAATTCCACATTTCTATGGTGGGGTTGAGTCAATCATTTGGACATCTGCTGTAGAATTTCTACAAAGTAGGAACTCATTTTATAACACTCTGAAAAGTGACGTGCTTTGGTTGACTTCTGAAAGGAATTTAAATTTGCAACCTTCCATCGATCAGGTTTTAGAAAGATTGAAAAAAATACTGCTATGACAACCATTACATAACAGGGACTGTGAAGTATGGTTAAGAATTTAAGGAACAAAAATCTATAAGAATCTTGTTACAGTGTGATTCTAAGTAAAACGACAACACACGCATGTGTCTATGCATGTGTGTACGAATAACTAAGTTATCTCAAAGTTAATTAACTTTCGCGCTGGGTAATTAGTCGATAAGGCTGATTAATCCAATAAAAATTGTAATTGACTATTACTCTGGTTCCTGTAAAAAAGTAAGGCAGCCACCCCACATCCTGCCTCCCGAAGGCAGGCAAGCCATGAACGGCGTGACATGGCTGATGGATGTGGATGTTGTCACCATGCTCCACCCATCACCTCCCATCCAGCAGCACAAGCGGGAACACAAAAGAGACTTTTCTCTCAACTACGTTTGTGTCAGCCGACTGGTTGATGAATAAAACTAATAACTGGTAGGGCAATCGTTCGTTGAGTAAAGGAAGAGTAAGCGATTACTTGAAAAATTGGAAAGCCAAGTTCGAATAAAAATATAAATAGTAGAATATATAGCAGTGTTTTCATACATTTATGTATGTATGTTTTAAATAACGTGATCCTGTATTTGCGCCACGCATATTGTACGATGCCACTGCGTCGCCATCTCTTTCCCCTACCACCACTGAAGGCAAGAGTCGCCGCGTGGACAAGTGCAAGGACCTGGAGCTGTACCCCCAGGTGGACACGCAGACCTGCCCCTGCCGGGAGTACTCGGCCCGTCCCGTGGGGCCCTGGTCCGACTGCCTGCTGCCCGAGGGGAGAGGCCGAAGCCGGGGACCCGCCAGCCCCCCCAGGGAGACGGGCGACTGTGGCCAAGGCACACGCTATCGAGCCCTGGCGTGCTACGACCAGCAGGGCCGGCTGGTGGAGGGCGGCAATTGTGCTTCTCCTGGTGAGAAGAGCGGCCACTGGCGATGGCAACAAAACAGCATCACCACCTTTTACTACATTTGCACCAGCCACCAACATTTCTCAGTGCGAGAAATCGTATTCATTAATAGCAGGCCAACGCCAATTTTACCTGCACCTCCAACCAAATACACTACAGCTAGCACCACTGTCACCAGCACCAGAACCCCCATAGCAACAATCGCCATCACAAGCACCTGCACCACCACCTGCACCAGCATCAATACCAATACCACCAACAGCAACACCGGCAGCACACTAGGACTAACCGCACTACCACCAAGAGCAGTACCAGCAAACCAACCACCAACAATAAAATAACAAGCACCACCAACAGCCACCAATATCAACACCACCACAATTGTATTCTTCCTTAAAGCGCATGTGATTGATGTTGAAAAGAAAAATCATATAACTGAGCATGCATGGTCTCAGCTCTGATTTATTGAGCCACAAATGACTTAAATATCTTACCGACTAATAACAATTATTTAAAACATATGAACACTAAAACAGAAGCAACAATGTCTGAAACAAGAAAAAGTTTAATTGTAAAATAAAGAAAACATTGCTGAGATTAATGTGTAAAATAAATCTAAACAGATAGCCTTCCAAAATGTAAGAGTCTTCAAATGTAACTTTAAAAGGTACTCGTGGCTCCCAGAGTTGCTTGCTTGTGTGTGTGTATGCACTGCTCATGGCCAACCGGTCCTGAGACTCCCCTAGGTTGACTCAGCCTCAAATTAGTACCTGGGGTGGTTTTTCAAACATCACCACTGGGCAGACAAAGGCGGTCAGGTGTGGTACTGGCCACCCACTCCCTCGTGTACCGTGCCAGCCTTTATAGGTGCTCGCTAACAGCACTTGCCCAAACAGCCCATGTAGGCTATATGGGGGATCTCTGTCTTTTGTATGTTATTCCTTGTCATCATTATTTTGCCATGCTCCTTTGAGACGCCTCCCAAAAATCACAACACTGACATTGTGGCAGCAGTGGCAGCAGCACAGCTTCCACTGCGGAGCAGTACTGTGGTAAGAAGGGGCAACTGTCACCATGATTTCTTTCACTAAAAATATACGAAGCATATTTTACCTGGAGACCTGGCAGAGGCATACATATGCAAAGTAGATCAATTGCGGGTGTCCGCATATTGTTAGAAGGCATTCATCACGACCGCCTTGCTTATGGTGTGGAGAGTGGCCATGTGACACTTTGTTTTAGAACGTTTGCATTTTTACAGCTCTACATGGTGTGCCTAATATCAATTGCCTCCTCATGTTAATAAAAGTTTCAGGTTTGATTAAACGTCCTTTTCCTGCTTTGTATTAAAAAAAAGAGTTTTTATATATTTCAGTGTGCACGTGTTCACACGTGTGTGGGTGCGTTTGTTAGCATGTCTTTGGCGAGCGGTGGTGCAGTAGTTTAACGCATTGCGCTACTAACCTTGGCCACCCGAGTTCGAATCCCACTCAAAACCAATAACAGTGGCATATATGACTGGCGCGAAGCCTCCCCTAGGTCGACTCAGCCGTAAAATGAGTACCTGGTGCAGTGTGTAAACATCAGCCACTGGGCAGACTAAGGTGGCCGGGCGTGGTGCTGCTCACCGACCCCCTGGTGTGCTGTGTTGACCTTCACATAGGTGCTCACTAACAGCACTGTTAGAGGCTATACGGGGAACTTTGTCTCAGCATGTGTGTGTTTATGCGAGTCAACAGCACTTGCCCAAACAGTCTGGTAAAGGATATATGGAGGATATTTGTATTTATACTCTTTGGTTCTATTGGGTAAAGTCACGTAGGTGAAAATAAAATAGCAAAAAATCACGACGTTTCGGCCACAACACAAGCGGCCTTCATCAGGTGAAGGGACGAGACTGTCTGGAGGACAGCGCTGGAGTGAGAAAAGCCATGCTTAGATCACGACCTTTAAGCTTGTGATCGCGGCATGCCGCGATCACAAGCTTAAAGGTATGCCGCGATCACAAGCTTATGCCGCGATCACAAGCTTAAAGGTCGTGATTTAAGCGTGGCTTTTCTCACTCCAGCGCTGTCCTGCAGACAGTCTCCTCCCTTCACCTGATGAAGGCCGCTTGTGTTGTGGCCGAAACGTCGTGATTTTTTGTTATTTTATTTTCACCTACGTGACTTTACCCAATAGAACCAAAGAGTATGGATCCTAGCAGTCACGAAAGCTTTAAATCTAGAATGGATATTTGTATTTGTTCGTATGCTTGTTGGCATGTCTGGTTATGTTCGCGTGAATATATGTATGCATGTTGTGTCCATGGGGAGCGGGAGTACAGTGTTTTGTGCACTCCGCTATGAATCTAGCAACTTGTGTTCAATTCCCAGCCACGGGAGACAAAGGCAGCCAGGCGTGATACTGGTCACAACCACCCTCAGAGGCTCTGTGCTGAGCTTAACAGGTGCTCACTCACAGCATGTTTCCCAGTAGTCTGCTAAATACTCTACGGGGGAATGCTTGTCCTTGTTTGTGTCCGTCCAATCTCTCAGTGCACCAGGAGGAGTCGTGTGTGGTGGCCTGCCCGTCAGACTGTCGATTGAGTGAGTGGTCTGGGTGGTCGCCCTGCAGCAAGTCCTGTGGCTCGGGTGTCAAGGTGCGTTCCAAGTGGCTACGCGAGAAACCCTTCAATGGCGGGAGGCCCTGCCCAAAGCTGGATCACACAAACCAGGTAAGGTGCAAGTCGGCGTGGTACATACTCCGGACATAGGCTTGAAAAAACAATCAAACCCCATAACGATGACTTTATCGAAATATTAAAATGGACCAACGCCCCGTCTATTTGTTGCCACGTAAAACCCAGCTTCCTTTCCTGTTGCTATTATTCATTTACTTTCACATCTATCTGTAGTGTTTCACAAATTCTTGTTCAATCCACTGATTTTTTTGCAAAGAGTATTTCACGCTTAAACTTCAGGATTACACAATGATGGTACTTGAATCACAATCACCCAATTGATTATAAATACAATGGCCAGGTGAATTAGACCTTGATGGTAGTAAGAGGCTGATGGGCTCGTGGCATGCTAATAACCTGTATTTTAATTAGTACACTTCAGTGCCATGCACATCAGAGGAGCTGAAAATGTACTTTCTTTCTAATTTAATTATGGAAATGTTTTAAAATAATTGCATTACATTCTTTCCCATTATTTTGCAATTTACAATTGTGCCCGACAGTTATTTATGCCAGCTGCATTGATACCAAGATAATAATATTGATGGCTTTCACAGTGGGTGTGCAATACTTATTATAAACTGGTCTCTACCCGTATAAATTGCAGCATCACACCACCTATGCCCACTTGCCTTGGCCTCTGCTCTCCAATCAATTGTCAACTGCTGTCTGCGAACTTCCCCCCGCCCTTCCCACCTTCTCGAGCTGCCATAGGGCCTCCCCACCGACCCTGCGTATTGCCGTAAAATTTTAATTCATTTCCATAATGCGAGGGACGACGTGTGCGCAGTAATCTCTCTCGACGCGCGCAGTCGCCCGAAAAGGCTGCTCGTGCCGCCGGCAAAGTAAAAAATGAGTTTCCAGTCTGTGGCCGCCCTGGGTCGTGAGTTATCGCAGCGTTGAGCGGTCCGCGTGGCAAGAGATGTAGACAGAATAGAGACCTTCAAAGTACAAAGGGAAACGCTTTATTTGCAATCAATTATTCATTACAGGACGGGGCACAGTTGGCCCGTACCTGCACTTAAGTGTCTGCATTTTCCGACGGTAAAATTGGTTCAACAAACAGACTGAAAGAAGAAGAGCTGATCAGACAGCGCGTCCGAGATAACATGGCATGTAATTCAGAAGGCTGACAGCTTCATGACATTATTTCTACGAAAAGGCATACAATTTTTTCATTTAAATGTGTCACAATAACGTTGTGGATTTGTGGATACTGCTAAAGTTAATGCTCTTATTTCAATTATTTATTAATACTGTAATCTGTATGGAAGCCATTGATAGAAGGGATTATGGACAATGGTCAAGAATAAAAACCGAGTGGCAGCCAAAGAATAAAACCTGTCTGAGAGGACGTCAACTGAGGAGACCGAGCACTGGAATCAGCTTTTGTGGATTTCCCCCACCTCTGTTTATCACGATTGGCTACGTACGGTGCGAAAGAAGTTCAACATACATAAATGTTTGCATCGTGGTTTCATGATAGATGCCATCACTTTGTGGAGGGCTTTATCCAGCGGTGGACTGAGCATAGCTGATGATGGTGATGATGATAATAATAACAACAACAAAATAACCACATCTTGCATACTTTTCCCCAAATTTACTTTGGAATGGAAAAGTCATACCATGAAATAAAAACTGTACCCATTAATATCATGATACCAATAGCACACCATCTTTTGTTTATAATTTAAAAGGGATACAGGCCCAAAGCGATGTAAGTTAAACTTCTTTCGAACCGTATGGAGCAAACGATGCTAATCGGAGGTGTGGGGAAAAGACAACAAACTAAACACAAAACGCAGTGATAAAGAAATGGGTTTTTTTTAAATCTAGATTTAAAATTGTGAAAGCTCTTAAATGTTTTTTTGAGAATTTTGGTTTTTGAAAATAAACAAAAGTATAGTCCTGTGCTCCCACGAGAACCACACTAAGCGCACACAGTGGTGGTGCTTAGTACAGTTTCGTGATTCAGAAAATGTGGCCAGCTGATGTAAATGCCATTCAAGGTTGCATCAGAGGTCAGCGGTGTATTTATTTATTGCTGGAGGCGAGCGATTGGCTCACCGTGTATCAATCTACGCATTGGTTTTCCGAGCAAGAGTATTAAGTCATTTATGAAAAATCTAAAAGGTCTACGACATACAATGGCCATGTAAATATTTTAGGGGATGGGGGATGAGGAGCACCTGCCCCTCCCCTCCCCACCCTATCCCCCCACCCCCCCCGGGTGCAAGTGATGGCTCTAGGCAACGCTGCATCGGTGTTATTCTAAAATGAGCTCCTGCCGTATTGTATGTATTCTTAAATATATGCAAACACAGTTACTCTCTGCGATGGAGGAGCATTTTTCCCTGTACTTGCAAGAGTGATAAAATATGTAATCCCGTGTTTCGATCTTCAAACACCAAAGTGACAACAATAACAAGGCACCAATCCTGCATTAACCATACATACGTGTGGTAAAAAAAATTCAAATAAATACTTTTACAATGTATGCACTGTCATAAAACTGATTGGCCTGCACCAGAGACAGACTCTTTTTTGGCATTGTCTCACCAGCACCAGACTAAAGGCCACCAAAAGTCGGGCAGTACAAGGGCAATGCAAACACCAACGCATGAATAGCTCGAGTGAAGCAGTTAGAGCCTTCACTTCCCATCAATATTTTGATACTGGTGAAAGAATCCCATAGCTGTAATCCCAGTTTTTGTTTATTATTTTATGCAATATTCTTTGTTCTTTAAAGTTATTAATTTGTTTGTTTCTCAACATCTGAGTTACTGTTTAGATTTCACTGTCCGCATAACCTGGATATTTTTTGCATTCGCCAGAGCTCATCCACGTCGCAGTGCACTTACGAAATTATCGGTTCATCCCCCACCTTGCAGTGTGCACAGTCGTGTAAAATGGGTCTCATTGCTTAGTATTCACCGAAGATGCTATTTCCCAACAGGAGTCTCAATTAGCAGATGGCATTGTGCTTCATAGACAAGTGTTTAAACATTGCGGTGTACACCCAACAAGATGTGCTCTTGTTGGCCGGGTAAAGGGACCGCTGTTTATGCGTGGCGACGCGTGGCTTACTGCTAAGGTACGCAATGCAGGCTGGAAGACACTTCCCATCTGCTTATTTTGCCCCGTAGTGCTGACCTCACACCATCGCACTTTTGCTTTATTCTATAAACCGAGGTGCACGTGATGAGAACCGCTTCTCTGATGTGAGAATGACCTTCCGAGTAATGTCCGGGAATGGTTCTAACGCTGCTGGAAGTACACGTAGACGCACACACGTGGCAGTTTTATTTTCTTCAGGATCGAAAAGCATCGATCTAGCGATATGAAGAATGCATCAAGAAGGGAGAAAATAGCTTTTCAGTAATCAAACGTGTGTTGAAAATCTTGGGACAGGTGTTCCAGGAAACATTCATTGGTCCCAGACCATATCGAACCGCGCTCATAAATTTAAATGCATCGGTATTAGAGTTGCCGAGCAGGAGTCTAGACTGAATAATGAGAGTTTGTGATAATTGCGCGGCAGTCTAATGCATATATCACTTTCAGCACGCAAATAAAGGGCGCATGCCTGGGTTTCGTGCAGTTTTATTTGAAAGAAAGCAGCAGCGCTTACTCAACCTCATACCCTGTAGCTTTCAATATCATTCTTAAACATCCAGTGATAATAATTACATTTTACATGCCCTGAAAAGTGCGGAAAATATTGCTGGCAAATATATATATTTTTGTTGTCACACTTCTGGGAACATTCCGCAGTTTTAAATGTGCAACGTGTTAATATTTTAGATTAACACGTTGCACAGGTTATGAAAGTCTTGACAGTTCAACATTATAACTTGAATTTTCAGAATCTAGCAAAGGTAGACAATTCACGTGAGGATGCCACAAGTATGTGTGCAGTCTTCACAGGTTACAGCAATTCATGAAAAAACAAACGGTTTTAATGTTTAAAGAGTGGCACGATGCACAGCGTTAATTATGAAACTACTTTACATCTGATTAATGTTTCAAAATTACATGGCACAACCTTAAGTCTTCTTTTTCTGATTCAAAACTAAATTGGCCTCCATCCCACCACCTTCCTCCCCCACCCCCGCCCTGCTTCGCCCACACCCCTGTTATTTATCATTTTCCTTTATTTTTCTTTATATATTTTTTATTGTTATGCTTGACGACTGAACAAGTCGCACACTTATCTGTCAGTGTTTGGCAGATTCCCTAGTCCCCGCACCAATTTTATCCCTGGGTGGAAGCAATGGTGTGCAGTGGTGAGCGCACTTGAATCCGGCCACCTGAGTTCGTTTTTAGTCCATAACTCACATCGATGGTGAGTTTTTTCGTCCATAACCCCACATCGATGGTGAGTTTTTTAGTCCATAACTCACATCGATGGTGAGTTTTTTGTCCATAACTCACATCGATGGTGAGTTTTTAGTCCATAACTCACATCGATGGTGAGTTTTTTAGTCCATAACTCACATCGATGGTGAGTTTTTGTCCATAACTCACATCGATGGTGAGTTTTTTGTCCATAACTCACATCGATGGTGAGTTTTTTGTCCATAACTCACATCGATGGTGAGTTTTTAGTCCATAACTCACATCGATGGTGAGTTTTTTTGTCCATAACTCACATCGATGGTGAGTTTTTTGTCCATAACTCACATCGATGGTGAGTTTTCGTCCATAACTTACATCGATGGTGAGTTTTTTTGTCCATAACTCACATCGATGGTGAGTTTTTTAGTCCATAACTCACATCGATGGTGAGTTTTTTGTCCATAACTCACATCGATGGTGAGTTTTTTAGTCCATAACTCACATCGATGGTGAGTTTTTTCGTCCATAACTCACATCGATGGTGAGTTTTTTTGTCCATAACTCACATCGATGGTGAGTTTTTTTGTCCATAACTCACATCGATGGTGAGTTTTTGTCCATAACTCACAACGATGGTGAGTGTTTAGTTCATA